AAGAAATATAATTTGTTTCAGATTTTGTTGTTGTTTTGTGTTTTCTGAGGAAGATGAGTTAGCCCAAGAGCGTAACCGTGGCAACAAGGATACTCGAGATTTTCCATCACGAGGACGTGGATTTGCTAATCGTATTTTAATTTAAAAGTCTAGAAAATTTGCAGAACTTTACAAGTCGTCTTTGAAATACCTCTCCTATATAATATACATAGATGATTGGTTATTATTGGGACTGGGACTGTGTAATTTGTTTAGGCTTTTTGTTTAACAAAAAAAGAAAAGGGGGAACTGCTTATTATAAGGAAGGTCTGTGAAGAGTCTTTTTAGTAACTAAAGGATTGCGTGAAAAAACAATAAATAGAAATACTAGCCAAAAACTTTTTTCAAGCTGCTATTCTTCCCTTACATTTCCGTTAACATAAAACTGCTGAACTGCTTTGTTCTTAATCATAGAATTATTGTTCAATCTCTAAATATTTATCTGTGAAACTGCTTGCTTCAGGGTATCTGTGAATGTGATACCTTGTAACTCTGATGAATGAGGAGAGCAAAACATGGAATTGCTTACATATGACAATAAGCTGGAAAGATAGGAGACAGAAAAACAAGCCTAGTAGGTTTCCTAAAAATATCATGCCTTAAAAGCCAAAAGGGCTTATATGGTCCATTATAACAGTTGAATCTGATCCAAAGTGGGTACCAGAGCTTTTTTAAAAAAAAAAAAAAAAATTTTTTTTTTGTTTTACTCCCAGGCTCTGCTTAAGCAAGCTGTATTTTTTCATGTGAGCGTCCTTTTTAGTAAAGAAAGGTATGGAGAAAGAAATGAGGCTTTTTTTTTTAAACCTTGCTTGTGATATTTTAGTAAACCAGGTGTGATGACTTAATAAATCTGTCTGTCTTGTACATAGTCATGTTACTTCCGTGGTCATACCTGTGAAGAGATATGTGTTCCTCTCTGTGGTTCCCGGAGGCTCCTCGCCTCTGCATCTTTAAACCTCAGACCTCTTCCTCCCAAAGAGGCTGTCAGCGTCATGCTTCTCCTAGTAGAAGTTCTTGCTGCAGCTTCTGTTTGGTTTTTATTTCTCTCCTCCTCAAATGCTCCTCCTCTTAAATATTATTCAGGATTTTGCGGTCTTTCCTTGCTCTCATGCTTAAGATTCTCTAGGTTTTATGGTTGTCTTGGGTTGTGACCTGTTTAATAGTAGTGTCGTACTGGTTTCTCCGGCCATAACACAATATAGATCTGGTGTGTTCTGTGTTTTGCTACAAAGGGCGTCTTGCTTTTTGCTCTCCCTCTGAGTATACAGCCCCATGGTGGTCCGCCGGAAGTTCATCTGAATGCAGTAATCTCATGGTTAATGGATGCACTCTCTTCTGAACACTCCATGCTTAATGCAAATACTCGCAAGAGTCTTGACCTAGGAGCAATTATAGGAAGATTGGGGCAATGGAAACTCTTGTAAGAAGGAACAAAAAGAAGTGAATGTTTTTTGATCATCACTGGGGACAGATCTCTTCTTGGGCCAGAGTGTGACAGCTCAAAGACAGAGCAACTTTCATGTGACTGTCTAGCGCTTTCCTAGTATTTAAGCATTTTCTCTCTTTGTTTCTGTACATAGTGTTAGCTCTTTGATTTTTTTTTTAGCTGTTTTTCTTTATCCCCCACCCCAAACCCGAGTGCATTATTAGCATAAAAACACTTTGCTAAAAATGAGACTTCTGTTCATAAGATTATAGGGATGGAAGATGGAACAGATTTGTATAACTGGTATTTAAAATTAGTGCTGCATTTTAACAAAGTTTATTTCTGATGTCCTTAGCTCTCTGAACTTAGGCTTAGTGAATTAGTTATCTTAGTTTGGGCAATTCATAGGGTGGGGTTTTCTGAGGTACACTATTAAAAGTAAGCTAATATACAAATTAGAGTAGAATTTTGTGTATTGAGCATAAGAGGCAGTTCAAAATACTTATACTGTGCGTTCTAGATGAAAATGATTGCTATCAATAATTGTCTGTTTGTCATATAACATGTGAGATGTTTTTAAGAAGCATATTTTCACTAATTAATGTACTCCTTCCTTTTTATCCAAATTAAGCTATGCAGACAGCCGTAGAAGTATTCTAAGATCAGTGCTAGCAATGTGCTATTTTTGGCAATACTCAGCCTGCTTTCTCCTCTACGTCTTGCTCCCCTCCTCTCTCCACAGTTTCATTTATTTCTACAACAAAATAGAAGAATGTTCTCAGTGGTGGTTCTCAGCAACTCTTCAGCTGGTGGAAAGTGTGGGCAGTTTCTGTATTCAGCATCCTGGAAAATGTGCGTTCCCTTGAGGAAGTGATCCGCTGAAAGCGTGTACTTAGAAGATTGTTCCAACCTGCCTTGCTGCGTTGCTCTAAAGCCCCGAAATGTCTCGTCTCTAATACTCCTTGGAATTAGGATCTCTTCTGCCAAAGAGACGCTACCTGCTGCGGTTATCCGAGGAGCGCCAGAGTCAAGGATGTTTAAAATGGCTCTGAGCATTTTATATGCGGTGTGGGGCTTGTTGTTGGAAGTAGCAGTAGCGTTTGGTCCAGTACCAAGGATCACTTGGGAGCACAGAGGTAAGAAGAGAAACTTTAATAGTGTCCTGTGTGTTGTATGTTATTCCACAGTGTCTGGGTTTCTGTGTGGTTCAAAACTTGTTGCAGCCACGTACTCTGCCAGCCTGCTTGCTGAAAGTTTGGTCAGTTGTTGCTGGTTTTGTTCACAACTGCTAGAAGACCCTAGGACTAGAATATGCAAAAGTGACTTGGACACTCAGTTACAACTTGAGATACTTCAAATAGTTCTGAAAAAGTGATTATTTGTTCTTTTTAAAGGAGGAATTTCAAATTGGACTTCCTCAGCTGAAGGATCCTGAAGCTGAAGTTTGCTCCAAGGGAAGAACACAACATGTGTATTTTAATTGCATTATTTTTACTTTCAGTCTGAACATACAGCAAAATGCATCTTTCTAGTTAGTAATTCTTTGTGAATTATTATAATAATTCTTTTTTTCTTCTTCTGAGACTGAGATATAGGTATAGTGACACTAAGTGTTTCTGAGCACTAAAAAAGTTACCAAGCGGAGAGAGTATAAGCATTTCGCACTCTTCTGATTGTGTTATACAACTCCTAAAGTTGAAACTATCCAGCCTTTTTTTTTGTTGCTTTTTTGGAGCAGAAGACAGCATTCCCTATATTTGATGTTTCAGCAGATATTGATAGCTTCTGTAATACAGTCAGCAAAAGAAGGCAAATGTGGCACAGAGGAAAGAAAAGGGATCAGAGACTCCCTTGGGATCCTATTTGAAATTTTAGCCTGGGCCTGAAGAGAACTCTAGAGCAAGGACTGAAAAGTTCCTACTTGCTCCTGTTTACGAGTGTGTCTGTTTTTCCCCTCCATATGGCATAGATTTTTTATTTTTTTTAGATTTTAAAAAGTTTTTTTCTTTGACCCCCTTTTTTTACTACTCGTAGTTAGCAACCATTACTTATCCAAGTGTACTGTGACAGACCAGCCATATAGACAGTATGAAGAAATGGTGTCAAGGAAAGATGTTAAATGCTGAAGAGTCATACTGTAGGAAGAGATGAATGGAGATTAGGAATGTAATAGCAATAAACTGATTTATGAGATGGCTCTAGAAAGTGGTTTTCCTGATTGTTGGTGTATCAATAAATGAGATGCTGACGTACTCTTTTTCAGAAGGAATGGTCTAGGCAAGGCTTGTAGTTCCTGCTTAGAGTCCTTGTTGGCCCTATGTTGTATAGTTAACTAGTTAAAATTTGGCGAGTTACTATGTGATGGTGGTAGTACTACTAGTGATGTAACTCACCACTGACCTATATCCATGTTACTCCAAATAACTGGAATTTACTTTCATTCCTGCTATTTCTGCCTATCTCTGTCAGTTAAAAGTTTTTGCATTCAAACCAAAGAAGCCTACTTTGAATGTCAGGGACAACTTAGTTCAGTGGAGGAGTGAACATGTGGAGTTGTATGAGTTCATCCTTTTGGGGGAAATTTCCCTGCCTAGTGAAAGACTTCTAAATGACATGCTTGAAAATCTAGTTTAAAATAAATGTTTGCAGGGTCTCCTGGTTGAAAATGTGTAATGCCCAATACTCAGATTGGGAGCAATAATAATAATCTTCTGCCTATATCCTTAAAGAACAAGTTTAATGAATCTTGTGATAGTTTCTTACAGAAAACACACTTGCCCAAGCTTTCAGTAATTCTTCCACATTGGTTGTACATGCAGGAAAAAATATTTCTGTCTCCCTGTTTCTCTTGTCTGCTTCCTTTTCATCTTGGTTTTCCTTCATGTTACCTTTTTCTATTGCTCTGCATTCTACCTCCAATCTCCACTTCAAAATCAACTTATTCACACGCTATAAAGGGAACCTTTTAGCTTCTCTGTCTTCTTTCTACTATGGTTATATCTTGAAGTTTCTTCTGGTAAGGTAAAGGAATTTTGATGAGATTGGGGAAGATGCAAGGAACAGGGTAACTTTGAAAATTTTCCACAGTAGGTGCATATGTAGAAGGGAGAAGGTGAGGAAAAGAGCTGATAGTGGATGTGAAGTGTAAAATGGAAGGGTAGAAAAAAAGGAATTAATGGGTGGAAAAAAATGAGGGAAGACATGAGTTACAGGGGATGACCACAGGTGGAAATGTTTAGGCATTTGCGATTGAACTGGCAAGTGGGGACTGGTGGTTTTGATGCCGATGATGGGAGCTGCTGCTGAATCGAGCTCCTGAGGGGTCTCTTGTCTGTTGTATGTCTTGTCCTTATTAAGCTTTGTTGCTTTCGAGATATCAAACGAATGTTAGACGACTTAGGAAAATGACCCATGAACTTGACCTTCAGTGGTGGTGTTCCTTCATGCGATGCTCTTTTCCTTTCATTTCAACAGAGGTCCAACTAATACATTTTCATGAATCGGAAGTGTCAAACTATTCAACCTTACTGTTAAGTGAAGACAAAGATGTTCTGTATGTAGGAGCCAGAGAAGTGATCTTTGCATTAAACTCGGGGAATATTGCTGAAAAGCAGCACGAGGTGGGTATACATTTCAATACGCTATGCTCTATTTAAAAATCATAATCCAAAATTTGACTCTGTTTTCTGGTATCAGTAGCACTGTATTTTAAGTATGGAGTACCTAACAGAGAAAGTACTCTGTGGGTCTGTGCTGGTGGTGTGTTATTTCTAGAGGACAGTTTGAAGTATAACGTGCCATCAAATGAGAGGAAGACCCAAGTTATTATAGATACTATATGTTACAATAAAAATACGTGTATCTCCCACTAATCTAAATCGGAAGGAAATATAATCTGAAATAGAAACAAAGTTGGAGTTATGCTCAGTAGTGGAGACCTGCTGTCCCTGCAACCCAGGAGTGGCAGGCTGCAGATGTGCATTAAAGGTGATGAGGGCCCTGTCCTTTAGATTTCAGCTTCTGTTTTATATCTCTAGATGCATCTGCGCAGCAAGCTGCGGTGTGGAGAGATCTGATCCGGCTTGTTCAAAGTTAGCTCAGTTGCCAGAAGCACTCTGGATGTGCTGACACTGGCTTCTCGGGGTAGCTTAGTCCTTGCAGAAGTCTGCTAACAAGGTTATACTGCTTTGAGTCCTCCTCAGGCTCCTGTTTTTCCCTGCTTCGGCAGCACAGGCAGACGCTCAGAGACACAGCACAGAATCCGCTCAGCATGTTTTGGGAAGACGCTTGTATGTTATATATATTTTTAATCTGAATAAAATGTTCAGGGATGATGAGAGGGAATTTCACCAGCGTACAAAAGTGGTTTTCGGTTATGAATGCGTATAACCAGCAAAGCTGTAGTCCTATGTATAATGATGTATATTGCTCCAGCATGTTTCCTTTGTGGTGGTGGTTTGTTTTTTTCCCAGTGTAAACAAAACTGAAAAGTATTTAAAACGGTTACAGTTGTATTTCACTAGTGCATATGGTCATGGAGAATTCCGTTAGCAAATTGAGGGGAAAGATGATGAAGAACCCCAAAAGATAGTAGTAGTGGTTCAGAGCTCCCATCGTGCACGTGGATTTGGAAGTGTGACCTCCCCAGAGGGGGAATGGCTTTGGCTCTTTGCGAGTTGCCTGCAAAATGACTTGCATCTGCAGCAGATAATGTTCGTAGAACTCTCTCTTCTGTGATGGGTAATTGCACAAGCAAGGCCTGAAAATCTTGTCATCAAATTAGAAGTGCTTTGAATTTGCTATTTTGTTGCTTGTTTTCTCCCTTAGTTACACTGGAAGGTCACTGAAGATAAAAGAACTAAATGTGCTGTCAAGGGCAAATCAGAACAGGTACGTTCATTTATTGAACTTTGAAAGAGGTGTTATTTCACTTTAAGAGAAAGGGTGTTAATAGAAGAAAAGGTTCTGACTGTTTGAAATCAAGAATTTCAAATAATCACTGTAGTTGTTTAGTTGAGCTGAGTTTTGGAAGCTGCAGCATTTTTTTTTAATTTCTAGTTCACTATTTCTTCCTGGTGAATCTTCACTTAAAAAAAAGAGAATCTGAACATGCCCTTATATTTAAGGTTAATAGTCTGACTGTTTTTTGTAAAGCTGATAAACCTATAGTACTGGCACCTGCCATAATTTATAGCAACTGTTGTGTTTTGTTATTACAGTAATTCCTCCTCAACATTTAATTTTACAAAATGACTGATAATTGCGTTTGCTAGGGTGTAGGGTTCTTGAGGCCAGTGTTTTCTCACCAGTGTTATTTTACATCAGTAATTTATGTCCTTATTGTAATGCTCAGCGGTGTGCTCTTTGCAGGAGCTCGGTGCTGGTTTGGGCGCCCGAGCGGTTGCCCGGCGCCGGGGGAGCCGGCTCTGCTCCCAGCTCGGCAGCGTGGGCAGCTCAGCCCTGGCTTCCCTCAGCCTTTTTGGGAAGCGCGGGGCTGCTGGCACTCAAGGCTGGTTTGCTCGTACGCCCTTTCCCCGAAGAACGTCCATATAAAGTTTTTGACTGTATGCGGCTCTACCTTTCATCTTATCTCAAATAACACCACACTGTGTAATAATAAGGTAAAGTGAAGGCTTACGTAGCAAGATTGATCACAGGTTTGAAAATGGGAGGTTGCAAGCACCGCAGATATATATAAAGAGCAGTTTGTGTGAATCTGCGCTTAGTGGGATTTGACATCAGCACCCCCGTGCCTGGAGCTGCTTTGGCGCGTGTTGGTTACAAAAGCCCAGGTGTGTCCAGGGCTGGCAGAGATCCTGCGTTTGTAGGACTCCTGGAGATTGGAGCAACTGGTGCCCCCCTTAGCTCAACGTCCTGCTTGCTCTTGGCCTACACGTCCTGCTTGCTCTTGGCCTACGAACTGTCAAGGCCGTTAACCTATCTAAAACGAGATGTGGTGGGCATTTAAGGGCCATTTCCTCTCCGCCCGACTCTTCTTAATGCAATCTTAGCATGATCTTTGCGTGCTCTAGGTTCAGCTGGGATTACTGGTAATAAGGTTCATACGTAGTCCTAATGAGCAGTATGTGAGATGTGAATTTTTCTCTCGCGCGCACACACCCACGTGCACGCTTCAGCAGACGGTGTGATCTTTGCTAGGGCTTTGTAGAGATTATTGTTGATAGTCACAATGGATGTAAACCCGGTAAACAAGTATTTTGTTTGTGTATTCCAGAGCTGCAAACTCTTCTCCCTTTTTTTTTTTCTGCCCCATGTACAAGTGTTACTGAATCACACTCACTTCAAGCCATGTTTTTCCTCACTGTACTTAGTCTTTTATTAGTAATTCTTATACTGTAGCCATGATGTGTTTTGCTTAGCGCAGTGGTTTCACAAGCGCGAAGGTGTTAAGCTGCCGCTACCACCACTTCTTACGCGAGAATGGGTAGTCCTCTCCTCCTCCCGTGCCCTCTACCCCATCTAGTGCCGGCAGAAACAGTTATGCAGCTGTGCAAGGAAGTAGAATCTGGCAGAAAGCAAGGCTTTTTTTCTTTTTCCTCAGTTTTCTGCTATATCTGACCCACCATACAGTCGCACAAATACATGGTTTGGATCCGAAGAATGAAGAATAAGGACCGTGTTCAAGCTCGATTAAGTAGTTTTTGGAACTGCATTGGTGGTATCTGGCTGTGTACTGGCAGGAGGGTTTTCCCCTGTAAATAGATGTTTTGAGTTGTTTTTCTTGGTTGTTTTGCTGAATATTTGTGGCTTCCTTAATATTCAAGGCTTTGCTCAAAGTCCTTGTTCTATTTCAAAGCCAGATGAATTAATATGTTTTCTTGGGTGACAGAGCAGTTGACATCATGAACTGAAGAAAATTGGCAGATAAAAGTGACAAAGCCTTGCTGAGAAGTTAACAGCCTTAGAGGTTTTTCTCTTAAGTGGTAGTCTAGGTTGCGTCTTATTGTTTCATCTAGGCTTGCAAGAGATGACAAAAATCTAAAACTTACTTCATCCTTAGCTAGTTGTTCTCATGGATTTGATTGGTCTTTGGCGTTTGTGCTTTCGTGCAGCAATTTGGGATTTACTCTTCTAAGTGTGTTGGTGTTCAGATATGCTACCCTGATACAGGTATACTGAAACAGTGGTGCACTGGTGATTATAGGGAACTGGAAGCTGCAGGACTGCGTGCGACTGCATCTCAGGTGGCTGCATCTCGGAGATGATGGTATCATTCAGCATTACATCTCTCAAGCTTTGGGAACACTTGTGTGGTGTGGCATGAGTAGGAGCGTCAGAAGAGTCGATACTACAACTTAAACTGGTTATTTATGTTGGAATGTGGAAGTTGTGGTTTATCAGACTGATCCTTTTTGTCCTCTATTGCAGACAGAGTGTCGTAATTATGTGCGTGTCTTGCAACAGCTGAATGAGACTTTTCTCTATGTGTGTGGAACTAATGCGTTTCAGCCAACGTGTGATTATCTGGTAAGAACGTACATACGTTTTGTCCCAATAATAGCTTTAACATAAAAGTGGCTCATGTAAACAGTGAGTTGACCTCTGTTCCCAAAGACTATTGCAATTTTAGTGCCAGTCATAGCCTTTGAAGCATTTATGATACCGTCTCTCTGTAACGGTAGAGAATGGAATTACACTGTAGCGTTCCCTTTTCAAAGCTTTTAATGAATTATTGATTCAGCTCGGTTAACTTTTCCTTAGCTTTCATAACACTGAGTATTCTACAGTAGCTGAAGAATATTTTCTAAAACTGAAATGACATTCTTTTTGACTTCCATCCACTTCTGACTCTCCCTGAAATGTTTCAGATTTCTGTCTGCTTGTCTTGTCTCTGCTCCTGGCTATGCCCATAGCTCCGTAATGCTGAATGCTTCAGAATGAAGTCTTGGCTTAAAATCAAAACTCCTGTTTCATGTTGCTGACTCCATTATTGTTCTCCACAACGTGGATCTTGCACGATTCTGAAGTTCAGAAATTTTGTAATTTTGCTTGACTTTGTTCTTTCTCGTCTCCACTGTTTATAAGTCTGTCTGCCGTCACCTCTGCAGCATTGCAAGAATTCACTGTCCTTAGCTTCTGATGTCTTTGCCATACAGTAGCAATTGATCATTTCTCCAGTTTTGTTGCTGCTGTTCTCAGCAGCAGTTCCTGATCCTTGTTCTGTCAGTCTTTAAGGGGTTTATAAGGTAGTAGCCAAAGTACTCTGTTGCTCTTTAAAATGTCCTTGGATTATACCTCATTTCACAAATTTAATATTTTCCTAAAAGTTGCTAAATCCGCTCCGGAATGCCTCGTGCTTTCTAAAATGCTCCATTTTTATGCCATCTAATTTAATAATGACTTGCTTTTCCTGTCCATCAGTTGACTCCTCTGCCTCTCCTGTTGTCTGGCTTTCTGGGTGTTCTTACTTGAGGTCTTCTCCTCTGTCTGGATTTTATCTTCTGTTCTTTTCTGCTCCTGTCCTCCCAAATCATAGGATCGTGTTTCCTCTGTCTGTTGGACTCGATAAGATTCTCTCAAAACATGTATTAGATGCTGGAAATTGTCTGTTATTTAGTCTTGGCTTTGCAGTTATCTTTGCACGTGTCAGATGATTGAATAAAAAATTGAAAACTATTGCTTTCTGATTTTTCAACCTAATTTTTTGCAGAATTTAATTTCGTTTGAGCTTGGAGGTAAAAATGAGGATGGTAAAGGTAGATGTCCATTTGATCCTGCTCAGAGCTACACCTCTGTTATGGTTGGTAAGTTCAGACTTTGCAAAGCTCATCGTTACGTGCAAGCAGCCAGTCTTCTCCTCCAACGTTCTCCAGTCTCTCAAGATGCTAGATTTGGTCCCTTAAATCTTTGCCGTGTATCTAGGCAGACGTTGAGATGCTTGTGTAGTCAGCTTTAACATGTTTCTTCACAGGATAATTTATAATTTTTGGCTATTTCAGAAATAACTTTTAAAATCTTTGAACTATATTCTTAAGCGTTTAACACGTTTAGTCTGGATAGTCTAAATATGTTGATATAGTCATTCACCATGTACTTTGGTTGTCGCTATAGTGTCAATTACTGTCATTTTAGTAAACTTAACAAGTGGAATTTTTAGATGTTCTGAAGACATCTCCATGAAACAGGATAGGGAAGTGAGATATTTATCGCAAGTGAATTACTGCATGATTAAACGCCACTGAATCTTGACTTGGTTAAGCCTGAGGTCGTGGCTGTATCACAGTGTCGTAAGATCATGAAAGACGAGTTTAAAGTAACACAAAATGAGAAATGAAAAAGAAGAATGTGCTTGTTGCATTGTCGTTTAAATTCTTAAAAATTTAGTTTCAGTAATGTTGGCATAGAGGAGGGGCAAAATAATTGTTTTAAGACTTTTATGGTATTTGGGTAATTTGCATTTTCATACGTAAGCTGCAGATTTATGTATTAAATGTTGAAGTACCACAAGAACAATGATGCTGACTTTTAGTTGTTTGTGTTAGAGCAATAATAAACCAAGTGTAAAGTGTTAGCTTAAAAAATGGTCAACAGAAATATAAACATACAAGTATGTCTGGGGCGATTTAGAGGAAATCCTTGTTTATCTTTTCTTATGGGAAGTTTCAGCTAACATATTCTCTTGAAGTATTTATGTACCTTTTTTGGTATTCAGTGCATAAGACAGTCTAAAATATTTGTTTTTGTGTTAAAGACGAGGAGCTTTATTCTGGGACTTCTTACAATTTCTTGGGAAGCGAGCCTATTATTTCACGAAACTCTCATCAGAGTCCTTTGAGAACAGAATATGCAATACCTTGGCTTAATGGTAAGTGGGTGTGAGAACAGGCCAAAACAAATCGTTTGTCCTTCTTCAAAGTTACAGTTCCAGACAAAAAATTTTAAGTTTCATATCAGCAGTAAGGGACCATTGCCCAATATCTCAAGGATAATGACTTACGTTACTGGCATACAGTGACTTTTGAGTGTGCCTACAAGAGATTTAATTTTGAAAATTCAGGACTTTTTTCAGCACTGACACCGAAAGCAGCTTAGAGACATACGGGCTTTGACTCGATGTTAAAGGCTGCAGTTTATTTTGTGTCCACTCGTTCCTCTCGGCTGTGTTATGATATAGCTTAGCAGTAAGGAGGAGTGTTTTTTGCCTAACATATATTTTCAAATTGAGCTGAACATGATTGGCAACTGTCTCAGTTCCTGAATTTCAAAACTCACTGAGTTCGTGATCTGAGGTTTTCTACCAAAAAGGACAAAAATCATGAAGTTAGCATGTTCCAGAAATTGCATTATGGCCAAAAACTGCAGCATACTGAGTTTTGTAACACATTTGGTAATGCTGCTGTCGTCTTTAGTGTTTCAGTTAAGAGCACAGATTTCAAGTGGCTAGTATTGTGCATGCCTGCTTTAAAGAAATTTGTTTTTTCAAGAGAAAGATGAATTAAATCTTAAGTACGTTCCTTTATGCTCTGATTTTACGTATTGAGGGTTTAATCACAAGAATGTGATTGTGTGTACTTGGAAGCCGGCAGGATTTGGGGAGCATGGTCAATGGGGTTGTTTTTCAGGGCTGTGCAGACTGTGTAGGTGAGTTGACTTAACCACTAGATTTCAAGGGGTTGCTAGATAGCCAACCCTGGTGAGTTATTGCTGTACGTCTCAGCTAATTCTGTCATCAAAGATGAGTGAACTAGAATATACCGTTTCCCCTCTCTGAGTTTTTGTTTTTTCTAGGGGCATCTTGGTTTTTATTTAGAGGGGGGAGAGGCAGGCAAGAACTGTGCAGAACTATCTGAAAATCACTCTCGAGTGTGGGCTGCAAATATGAAGTAATGAGATAATCAGACCTTAGAGATCTCTAAGTCGGTTTGTGTTTCGGTGCAAGTGATCCACATAGTTCTTCTCTCCAGTATTTCTGGTTTTTAGAAGTGATCCTGATGGGCTCGACAGCACACTCTGCAGGCAGGTTGCCAACCGGAGAGCGGTGGAATGTAATGGGAGGTTTGGAAGAAAGAGGACTCCTAGAAAATCTTAGAGGGAATTAAATTTGAAGAGTTGTATTTAATACAAAATTCTTTTCCTTATTTGTGTCTGTAGAGCCCAATTTTGTTTTTGCTGATGTGATTAGAGCAGATCAAAACAGCACAGATGGAGAAGATGACAAGATATACTTCTTTTTCACCGAGGTGTCTGTGGAGTATGAGTTTGTTGGAAAGCTGATGATTCCAAGAATAGCTAGAGTGTGTAAGGTGGGATGCAGTTCTGTTTCCTTTACTAATTCAAGTAGATGTTTCTAAAAGTAGGAAGAAAACAAAACAAAACAAAACTCTTATTACTGTGGACTTCTTGTGTGCAATTTGAGTGGAAATAGTCAAGCTTGTTCTCGGTGAGTCAGCAATTTTAAACAGTTCTTCATAACTCAAAGTCTGGTTGGCAATTTGGGAACAAATGCTTGTTTTAATGCTTGGTAAGTGTTACGGTTTCAGTGCATCTCATTAGTAAAGTGATAATTATAAGTAATAATGTAAAAATAAATGTCTCCATTTTTTATTTTAATTTTTTGCTATGGTAAGTTTAAGTACAAATCCCTGTTAAAAATGTAATTTTCATTGGAGCTGAACAGATAGGATGTCTGTCAAGGGTTCAAGTTATTTTCAAGTAGCTGCAGACAAACAAAACTGCCTTCTCCTGTAGACACAGGGAGTCCTTGACTTCAGTGTAGGAGATGGGACTTCCGTGACGCTCTTGTAGCTACCATCACATCAAAGAAAACAGTCACCAGCAGCCCGATTCTGTCACACCTACTGTGTTTAAACCTCAGTATGAGTCAAATGTCCAAGGAGTGTTGGTTAAAAATCTTCTGACGAAAGAGCTTTTTCCAGTAGAAAAAGTTGATTCAACAAAAACCTTTTCACTGGAATGTATCAATTTCCTCGGTCTTTTTTTTTTTTTTTTTTTTCCAACAGGAAACTTATCTAGTTATTTCATTTTGATTAGGTTGAAATGTTTTATTTTGACTTTGCTGTTTTATATTTAAACATGAAAGTCAAAACATCAAAAACAAGTTAGTGCCCTTGAGATTTCCATTAAATAAGCAGCTGGAGGCAGGTTTACATGGAGCTTATTAATATGGCCCTCTGCCCACTGACAGCTTGTCCATGCTTTAAAATGGGAGTACTGTAGAATACAAGTGTTTTATTCCTACTGCCTGTTTAGAACAGAAATTAAAGGCAGATTGCAAAACTATAGGCATTTATATGTAGTTCTTTTTTGAAATTTTGCAGATTTCCCTCAATATTTTGGATAGCAATATTGGATGAAAAACAGGAAATATATTTTTTTATTCAAATACGTCTGCTTTTGAAAAGAAGCAACACAGCTGCCGCTTGACAATCAAGTTTTGAAACATTTGTAGCCAATATATTTTATTTTTCTTCAAGCCTTGATCCAGCAAATCCTTAATAAAGGGGGTAACTGCTTGCAGGCTTAGGCCATCACATGCATTTCTTCTGATGAAACTATGCAAGCTAAGTGCATATTGCAGCATCAGAATTTAAATTATTAGTGCTTAGATGTGACAGAGCTGATACAATGCTGTTTATCCCTTTTAAAGGACAAGTATAATACCTCTGTGTTTATTTTAATTGCTCTGAGCAGCACACTTTTCTAGGAACTTTCAGCTTAAGAGGCATTATTGAGGTGCAGTTCATGAACAAGTCTCATGTCTCATCTTACCTCCATGTGTTGAGAGAAACCGTTCTGTATTATTTTTGTTAAATCAAAACACTTTCCTGAGACTTTCTTACTTTTTTGCGTATGAATATGTTAACATTTCTTGAGGTTGCTATAGATTAAAAGTGAGAGTATATCAGTGTTTCAGTAGTCCTATGCTGTGTACCAGTGGTTCTTGAATGAAAAAAGTGCAGCCTAATCCCCCTCTCCCCCTAATGCACCTTTTTTTCCCCCCCCCCCACTCAAAAGAGGGACCAAGGAGGATTAAGGACTCTGCAGAAAAAATGGACTTCCTTTCTCAAGGCCAGATTGATTTGTACCATACCTGATAAGAATTTAATCTTCAATATTATCAACGATGTCTTTATTCTCAAATCTCCAAGTCTGAAGGAACCAGTGATCTATGGAGTTTTTACCCCGCAACTGTAAGTGTGATGTAGCCTTTCCTGGACTTTCCTTTCCAGACTTTCATCTAAGTTGGTTACTACAACAAGTAACAATTGCTCTGGTGATAACTTTTTTTTTTTTCTTTCTTTGTGTACTTTTAGGAATAATGTGGGTCTGTCAGCAGTTTGTGCATACAATCTATCTACTGTAGAAGAAGTGTTTTCAAAAGGAAAATATATGCAGAGTGCTACAGTAGAACAATCTCATACAAAGTGGGTACGCTACAACGGGGAAATTCCTAATCCTCGACCTGGGGCGGTAAGTTTGAATAACCTTGGATCTGATAGCTGGTGTCTTGTTGTGCTCAAGAGTGAAGAAACTAGATTGCTTCAAGTGGTTTATCCTGAAGTTTCTATCTGGAAATCAGTTGTGGGGTTGGTTTTTTTTTTTTTTTTTGGTTTGTTTGGGCTTTGTGAGTTATTTGCAGTTTCCATATTCTCATTATTTCATTACTAATTTTCTAGTGATGAAGACCAGGGGAACAGAAGTGTAGCAGTCCTTGCGTTATCTTCCTAGATTTAGCAGGTTTATCCAATATAGTGCATTGATTTACAAACTAAAATGCTCATCATGCTGGGCCATTTACACACTTTTTTTTTTTTTTTAAAACCTTCTCATGTTTCTTCATCTTGTTGCTGTTGCTGAGGGAGATGACAGTTAAAGGTAGTTAAGAAGCATGGGAGTCTAGGAAGATGATTTTCCTCAAATGTGTTTTGGGCCCAACCAAAAGCGTAGGCCTAAGATTTTGCTCAGGCATTAGTGCTTTGAACAAGCCAAGCTGCTGCAAAAATGAGTGTGTTCCTGAGAGAGTGAAATGAGAGAATGGAGGGGTATGCCTACTGGCCAAACCAATGCAAAGAAGAAAATACGTGTTCCTGCTGTTAATTGTCTCCGTTGCGTACAAGCAAATGACCTAATTTGGTTGTCTTTTTTTTTTGCCAGTGTATAAACAACGAAGCCAGAGCTTCAAACTACCTGAGTTCTCTGAATTTACCAGACAAAACATTGCAGTTTGTTAAAGATCATCCTCTAATGGATGATTCAGTGACCCCGATGGGAGACAGACCACGACTAGTAAAACGAGACGTCAAGTACACCCAGATTGTAGTAGACAGAGTCAGAGCGCTCAATGGTACCATATATGATGTTATGTTCATCAGTACAGGTGAGTTTTTTCAAAACGCTTTGTTTTAATGATGCACTGGTTATTTAGGATGAAATGTTGTGCTGCAAAAGGAACTTTGTAGATTGCCGTATTGGCAGTGCTTTTACAACAGCTAGTGTATTCTTTTAAAAAGTGAGAGGCCATGGCAAGTAAGTGGAGAATCTTGCGTGTTTTGAAGAAGTATACTGCAAGAGAGAGAACTGCAAAAACAGTAGCAAAAGCATAATCCAAAATAGGTCGTTCTTTTGTCCTGAAACATAACTTCTTGCTCGGTTCCTTATGGCGGCAGATAAAATGGTTGCCATTGGCACAGAGCTGTGTGAAGTCTTCGGTTAAACAGCAAGCAGATTATCGAGACAAATTATAGCAAGTGTGCAAATTTTTCTTGCCCTTTTTATTTTGCCTTTATTTTTATTTTTTATTTTCACTCCTAGTGAAGTACACTGATTTATAATTTCAGATCAAGGAGCCCTGCACAAAGCTATTAGCTATGAAAATGGAATGCATATTATTGAAGAAACACAGCTTTTCCCAAACTTTGAGCCGGTCCAAACTCTCTTGCTTTCATCGAAAAAAGTAAGCACTCTAAGCGTTCATCTCCTTTTGCTCTTCCACAAGACTTTTAGTGTTTATATTCAACTCCGGCACGATGAGAGACCATCACTACAAAAAGCAAAAAAGGCCGTTACCTGTAACTTCTCGCAAAGTATTGGATATTACCTGATACGTTTCAGTGTAGGTCATAGGGAGGTGGCAAGCTTCTGAAACCCTATAGATTTGGGCAAGGTGGGGCAGGCACAGGTGTGCTGATCTTCGCTCCGATCCCTAGTACAGGAGCCAATAGCCGTAATGTGTTCAAAGGTGCCAGTTTTTAGATGGGGGTAGTGTAAAAATCCTGACCCCTTGTGGCCATTACAAATCCGTGAAGAAAAATGGCTCAGGAATTTAATAGAATAGTATATATTTTTTTTGTGGACATTAACCTAAGAAGAGAGCAGTCTGTCTAGCAGAAAGACTCAGTCAAGTTGTATAACTAATTGATTGGTTTTGATTGTTTAAATCTCAGAGGTTCTTGTGGGGTAGATTTATCATGAGAATAGGCACGTTCATGCTGGTGTTGCATGCCAGTCGGGATCTCTCATTACGTTCTGCTTCCCAGATGGAATTCCAACTGCAGCTCCAACTGGAAAATACTCCCTTTGCTGCGGGCTCAGTGCTGCTCAGTGGCGGTTCTGCATTATTAAACAATTGCTGGGTTTAATCTCAGAGTGATTTTATGACAGTGGGAGGATAATTGCTGTGTGTACTTTGAACGCTAGCTAGGCTTCTGCTCCTAGTTATTCTGACTTGTGGGTTCGTAAATAGCCAAGATATTATTACCATAAGCAATGGTTTTTCAGCATCGTAGCCCTCAGTTGGTGGAACTTCTGGGCTTCTCGAGGAAAGAATGGTCTCGCTTTTTATTTATTTATTTTTATCTCATTTACTTATTTAAAGTGTCTGGTAGTGTTACTGACATTCAGTGAATACCTGGTGATCGATAATTGCTCTGCAGTTAGGGATTTAGGAATACACCAAGGTATCTCAAAAGCAGCATTTATTTTTGTGTGATATTTAACAAACTTTGCATGCTAACATGATCAACTCTATGGAAAAGAGCTTTATGCTGTCGTATCCTCAATAGCACTCTCATGTTCACAATAGAAAGAAATATCATGAAGAAAGTATATTTTGGATAGGTGAATCAACAGTGTGACAGACTTCCATGTTCATGGATTTCAGCAAAAACGGTTGTTATTTGTATGTATGCATTTGTATGTATGATGCCATTTTCAGCCACTGTATGGTTGAAATTCTGAAAGTAAGTTCACTGTGCTTGAAAGATAGGACAGTTCTTGTCTTCGTTATATCTGAATTTATTTAATGACTTGAGCATATATTTAAGAAATATTACTTGAAAAAGTAATGTGATGAGCTTTTCCTTTATTAACTGCCCAGCAGAAGGGAAAAAAGTTATATGGGATGTAATTTATATTGCAACTTATATTAAAACACGTATTTCTTAAAAACACAAACATCCTAACATTCTTCAAGTGATTAACTTTACCACAAATATGCAATTTCCTTTGCTTACTTACCAACAGATATTTTGCTTATTTCTTTTAGTCGTCGTCTTTTACAATATTTCTTAGTTCTTTCATTTCCCCAAATGTTGCTTTGCTCTCCTTTTAATTACGTAAGTTTTACCGTAAGTAGGCATGAATGTTGCGCGTTCAACACGTGGCATCTTTTTTGATTTTGTCTTTTAAATGATAATACTTTGTTTGGCTCCTTTTCAAGCAAGGGATTTATCAGCCTTATCACTGAGGAAAAAGGATGATGAATGTTTACTTGAAAATCTCTTATTGTGGCTATATATATTTATAAATGCTTTTAGGATTCCTCTGCTTCGTCTGGAAAGAATGCTTCAAGTGACTTGCTTTGACTGGAGGTTTCAGCATCTGCCCTATGATAGAAAATAAAGATAGATAGCTCTTCTAATAAATACTTTAATGCTCGTTCTCTTAATTGTGGGTAAATCTCATGATCCTTTATGTACTGGCTTTGTTATGGTCCCTTTATTTTTGGAAGAGATAGGTGTTACAGCGTCATACCAATCACACATCATCTAGCAATTTCAACACCCGATGATGATCGAGACTAGTGCAGAAATGACGGCACTGAATTTTTTTATCTCTGAATCCAAGTGCCAAGTTCTCGCTTGCTCAAGTACAACCCTCTAAAAGAGACTAATAGGAATGGAGCATAGGTACAAAGAGAGAGCTTTCAAAGCTTAGGATTTAAACATAACACTACTTGCTGCGTGGCACCCTGGAGCCAGCAGTGTTGTATCTTGAATGAGTAAAAAACTCCATTTTGCTGGAATAGCCTCTGCAGCCGACACCTAACACTGAAGCAAAACTGTCTAGTATACTCCCCAAAAAGCTGAAGTCCTGTTAAGTGATGAGGTATCTGGAGGTTGGGCTGGGGTGGCAGAATCGTGAATGTCGTACTGTTGTGGTGCCACTGAAGCAGGGGCTTGAAAGCTTTCCTCCTTGGACATCTATTAAGCAATTGCAATTAGTTACTACTGCAGTCCTTCACAGAGCTTGTATGCGGATATGTTTAGTGGCATCCCATAGTAGATCTGTTAGCCGCAACGGCCCTCTGGAGTAAGAATCCTTTCTGAACACCTTCTGGCTGCCGTAGTCTCTGGCCCTTCCCACATACCTTCCCCTTGTCTCGAGGGTGGTGGCCCTTCCCACATACCTTCCCCTTGTCTCCAGGGTGGTAGTCAGACGAGCCTGCGGTCGATCCTGATAACTCCTGCTTGGCCGAAAGATTGGTCTGAGTTTTTGAAACTGTCTGCTCAGCTCTCCTTGTGTTTTCTGAACTCCCTGGAGGTAGCGGCTTGGTCCTGTACGGAGACATTGCGACCTATGCGCAGCATTGCCCTATTTGCTTGGGTGTTAGCTGTCAGGGTCTAGAGAAGGAGACTGTGTTTGAATGTACAGCACTGACAGCTGATTCTCTTTCAAAGGCCACCTTCCAGCAGTGCCAGCATATTCTTTTTTGATGCAGTTACGTCTTGCTATATTTTCTAGTGTCCGGAGTTCCTTGAAAGTCTTCTGCACGCTTCAGTGGGTTTGAGGGACCCAACTTGTGCTTGATCTTGTAGCCTGCCTCTAGAGGCTACTGTTAGTCAGAATGCTTTGTTCATTAGTTTACTCTTAAGCAGACTTGGTGGTGGTCATTGTAATAAGGAAAAGGACTGCTCTGAGTTCTTACAGTGATACCTCCTTACATATCTTTGTGGAAAGGTGATGGTGAGTTCCAAAACGTAAATTCAGTCCTAAAACGGCCTGGCGGTTGTTCTCCTGAAACTGTTTGTGACTGTTCAGGACTGAAAGTCTACACCTTGAACGTGAGGTGTTTTAAGAATTTTGCTAGCAAGCCTCTTTTGGATATCTGCCTGTCACTTTGTGACCGTGTTCATCTTGCCAAAGAGTCAAGCTGCCTCTCTGCAAAGACGACCACTGAGTGCATTTCTGCACGCTGAGATCTGTATGGCTGCAGCCCAGGAAAAGCCACTCGATACTTGGATCCGACTTATTTGCCATGCCAACTGCTGGAGAATACTGATAAATTCACTCAGTATTCTACTCAGGATAAAATCGATCTACTGCCAAGGTGGGGTGTGCTTTTCAGCTTTGTGCACACAGCCTCTCAAAAATACTGGAAGATAGGTCAGTGATGTTTTGGGGTTGCAGGGTGAGGGTCTTTTCCCAGGCTTTGCATAAGAAAGGATAAATTCACAATGTACCTTGAGCCATCAGTTTCCACGAACTCTGAAACAGATGAGTGAAATGCACAGCTGCCTACTTTTTATGACCAGGGTGCTCAGAGTGAGTCTGATCTTTTCCAGAAGTGCACGGAGTGGGATTTGCTTGTAAATGGATCCCCAGTGGCTGCAGGTCAAGCAATCATTCTGTTTATCCCCCTTTTGCTAGGCATTATGCCAACACATTCAGTGTTCTTGGGTAGAAAGCAGGCAGTTTCATTCGAATCTCGTAAAGCTGACACTGATGGAGATGCAGCTGATAGAGCTGAAGGCAGTAGGGACTGCTTTGGGGGCAGGAGTCGGTTGTAAATACAGAAAGCCTTCCCTTTTCCGGCGTGTATGTGCCCGCTTGTGTCCGCACACGCAGATCTCTCCGCATACGAAGATTGTCAGTGCGTTCATGTTTTTGGAAAAACTATGTAATAAAGCCACATTTAGACGTTCACTTTCCTGCCTTGTAGAGTGTAGCTATTTCAATTTTATGTTTTTTGTCTTTTTCCGTTTTCTGTATCGCCGAATATTTTCAAGATCAGTTTCCTTTCCTCTTTAAAATGAAGGCTAATCAAAGCAAATGGCTATTCCCTTCAAGTTCCAGTTTTTACAAACATATACAAACATATCTTGCATCTGTTTACTTTTAATCATTTTTAATGGCTTGACGAATTTAACATGATTACTCTACTTTCAGAAAGTGACTGGCTGGTTTTTTTTTTGTTTTGTTTTGTTTTGTTTTGTTTTCCCTTTAGGGCAAAAGATACCTCTATGCTGGCTCAAATTCTGGTGTGGTGCAGTCTCCTGTGGCATTCTGTGACAAGTACACCACTTGTGTGGACTGTGTTTTAGCAAGGGATCCTTACTGTGCTTGGAAACCCCTTGAAGCTTCCTGTGTTGATATTCTTAAAGAAAGTGAATTGGAAAGGTAATGGCAGCTTTTGTTTGCCCTAGAGTTAGAATGAAAAAGTTCTCGTTGGTACTGTAAAACGTTCACTTACTAGGTCATGTAATACTGAAACACTCACGAACCTTTTTAAAAGTGGTTTTATCTTTGCAATATTCTGTCAGTCTTGCTCCTTACTGATAATTGGGATTTGTTTTTAGCTGAATGTTTTGAAATACAGATTTTTTCCTATCCGTTAATTCACATCTTTCAAAAAATGTCTGTTTTCACTATTTAGATAAGATAAGCCTTATTTAGTGTAGGAGGATGGGGAGGCTGCAGGAAATAAGGTTTAAAATTGCAATACTCTTGACTTCTTCTTACAGGAATTGGATTCAGAACATAGGTGGTGATGCTTCTTCTTGTTCTGGTAAGTTACGGTCTTTGAAAATCTATTTCACTTATCCAAGTGGAATAGTGAAAGGGTTCTGTTTTATTTAGCTTGGTTTTCCGTGTTTACCTTGATGTATGTTTACATTTTACTAGGTATAAAATCCTGCTCTTTTAATAGTTGAGCATCTGTGTGGCCTGCGTATTGTCTTAAAATGTCCGTATTTGTATACGTTTCAGTGCGCAGGGCACAAACTTCTGAAATGAGCTGGGGCACCTCAACAGCGGCTTGTGAATGAAGGCAATATTTACCATAAGTACTTCTAGCACAGAGGCCTGTCTCTTTGATACCTCATTTGAGATTCTACTGTTAGCTTCGATAAGTGCTTGAATATTGTTGTTGGATCAGATGAAATGATCCTGAGGAAGAGTTGCTTCTATGATGAAGTGAAGGGGCTGGGGATGGGGGGGGTTAAGAACATCGTACAGAGCAGCTGAAGTACCTTCCAGTGTGCTTTAAGGCAAGTAATCACAGATCCCTTTTCTTATAGTGTGTGTTGCTGCCGCCAGATCAAGGAGGTCTTAAAGAAGAGTAGTATTACAGGAGATTTGTATTGCAGTAAACAAAGCTTTTAAGCGTTTGCTTTGCTCTGCGTTATTAATCCAAGCATAGCGTGGGTCACCATAGGAGTTTTTCCGTGTTTGTTAGTTACTTTGTTAACTTATCGTGCTGTCTTGTGGGTGTGCTATAGATGCTGATATTTTTAGAAGAGAGTTTGAGTTGAGAATGGTGTTCTAAGTAACTGCGTTTTATTCAGTTTCCTTTTGGATAGTTTACAATTATTGATCTATTTAAAATGCCCTAATTGCATGTAAACTGATACCAAGTTCAGCATCTTGTTTCAAACAATGACTCATCTGAGATGCATACTCAGTTGTGGATCGACAAGGTCTCATCCCATTTCTCTAGAAGTAGAGCCTGTTTTAAAGTTTGAGGTATCCTGTCTCTTTGGACATCTCGTACGCAGATGTAGCTTAGCGTTTCATTCAAGTTCTTGCATGCTGTCGTCTTGGTAATCATAATGCTGTAATCTTTATGTTTCCATCATGACTAGCACAGTGTCATGAAACTGTACGGATTAGTGCAAACAAAAATCATTGCTGACACTTTGCAAATTTATTTTGATGTTCCAGATAAAGTAAGAGAGAATTCTCTTCAGCATACATTCAAGCATGGGAGCACAGCAGAACTCAAATGTTCTCAAAAGTCCAATCTGGCACAGGTAGTTTGGAAGTTCAAGGATGATGTACTGAAAGTGGAGAGCCCCAAATACCGTCTACTGGGAAAGGCACTGCTCATCTTCAATTTATCGGAGGGAGACAGTGGCGTTTATCAGTGTTTGTCAGAAGAAAAAGTGAAGAATAAGAAATTTTCTCAAGTGTTGGCTAAGCATGTTTTGGAACTGAAAAAAATCCAGCATGTTACGGTGGGCCCAACTGTGGCAGCTGCAACAACAGAAGGTAATAGCAATGTACCAAAAGGGTCAGCTGTGCCAACGGAAGGGTCTACTGCTCAGACCTCCACCACTCAGATTATACCAGTAACAACAGCAAGGATAATAACAAAGCCAATTGGCCCTGTCCTAACAAGCGCAGCCTCCAACACGGAGATCTTCAATGTGATTCCTGATGCAGTCCCAGAAAAGACAATGTTTCTAAAGTCAAATGATAACTTCCTTTTAATGTTCCTCTTTCTGTTCTTTTTCATTCTCTTCTTGAGTCTGCTCTCCTACAACTGTTACAAAGGGTATTTGCCCAGCCAGTGCTTGAAATTCCGCTCTGTTATGTTGCTTGGTAAGAAAAAAACAAAGTCAGATTTTTCTGATTGTGAGCAAAGCGTGAAAGAAACCCTGGTGGAGCAAGGCAGTGTCAGCCACCAGAACGGGGAGCAGCCGAAGCCGGCCCACGATACCGGGTACGAAACCGAGCCGGACTGCGGGAACGGCCAGGTCCCACCCGGCAATCCGCAGGCCTTCCGAGAAGTCAAGGACAAACCTTTCGATGTCAAGTGTGAACTAAAATACGCCGACTCGGACGCAGACGGTGATTGAAGGAGACCATCTTCCGATTTAATAACAAAATCAACTGTGGTACTTGCAGCTAACTATTGGAGCTGAGAGAGCGTGGGTGTGACAGCTGAGCCAGAGAAGGTTATATGTGCTTAAGCTATTCAGCAAGCCAATTTCCTTGCAAATCTCACCAGATTAGAAAAGTGGTGTTCTTGTCTGCAGATCATAGCATTTTGTATTATACTTTTTTTTTTAACTTTTTTTTTTTTTTGAATGGCCAGTTTCAGATCCCCATTTGGTTGTTCCTCAGATTTTTTTTCCCCCAGAGTGCTTCACTCTGGCGAATAGTTACTCGTTCTTTGACCCGATTCTTCCCTAGAATGAAAATAACTTTCTAATTCAGTTGGCTTTAAAATGTACTTCAGTCTGCACATATTTTTAGCTGCCATTAAAAAAAAAAATCTAGTTTCATTTTAATTCCAAATTGGAAATTAAGTTTAGTTTATCAGATTGGTAAATTATAGACTTTTGTCCAGATTGGGACATTTTTTTTTCTTTGCTTCTAGCTGTTATTTTTAGTTTGTGTGTTGGCACACTAGGTTTCTTTCAGTTAGTTAGTTTTTAACTGCTTTAAGGTATCTTTTAGAATTCAATGCCTAAGGGGGATAGGTTTGGCTTGATTTATGTAAGACTCAGGGATAATCTTGTTTAAAGGCTCTTTTCTTTGATGCTTTCTAGAAATTTAGATAACAACAATAAAATCAGTTCAAAATATTTGGACTGGAGTAAGTGGGGGGGGGGGGGGAAATCATAGATATAGGAGATTTTTTTTTGTTTCCTTAATCAGCAAGCTGGACGTAATCACATCTTGTCTTCTATACAAAACTGGATATTTTGGTTTTCTTTGTTTAATTTTTTTTTTTAATGAAACAGTACAGGCAAGCAGCTGTCTCGCAGCTAGGACACTGAGAGAGGGTTTTGCACTGTGGAAGCGAAGCAGGAATTGAGAAGAATTCACTACGACAATTCAATTAGTAACGTGCTGGAACGGACTGTTAGGATACAGCCTGATAAGAAAACATTGCAATTCTTTTTTTCAGATTCAAAAATAACTCAGCTTCTTTTTGTGACAAATCTTTGCGACGTCACCCTTTCTGGATGACCTCTACCAATCTCCTATGCAACTGGAGTCTGAAACTGGAGCTGCTCAAACAATCAGTCACTTGAACTGTTTATGTGGATCATGCCTGCAAAAGTGAAAATGTGCATTTGTTCTAAGCCTGGTTCACAGCAGCACTGTTTGTCTGTAAAAGCATTTTGTGCAGTGCAGTCTTGAAGAATTGTTCCTCTCACTGCGTCTTTCTGTAAATATTGCTAGGAGTAGAGTACAGTTTTAACAGTAAATAGCAGTATATCTGGGCTGCTTTTCTATGTTGAACTTTCATGCAAACATAATTTTGACCATCTTAGTGTAAACGGTTTATATTTTACAAGATTCAGTTTGGTTTTATTTTTCTATTTTTAATTATGTACATATAAAATGACAGAATAAATATTAAAATAAATTGTATTATATCTTGGCTTTTATGAAACTTGACACGGTAGAACTGCTTTCCATGTTGTAAATCCTAACGTTCCTTGTGGTTTTCTTTTTGGGGGGGGGGGGGGGGGAAAATTTTTTTAATTATTTTAATTAATCTGAAATAGATTGTCTTTCCAGCTTTAACTGAATGGGTTATATCCCTTGGGGGGGATTGGAAGGACAGAGAAAGGAGCGTGGGTGAAGGAGGAAAGCGTTCTTTTCTGGGAGTCTAGGGACGTTTCCTTGTTATCATCCTTCTAAAATTCATTTGTGTTTTGGCATTATTTCTTCAGTGTGTGATGTATTTCTTGCAACTTTTTTCCTTAGTACCCTCTTTTTTTTTTTTTTTCTCTTCTGTCCTCTTCTGTCACACAGCCTCATCTCCTATACCTTTCCCTCCTACTGGTACCTCCTTTTTGTCCTGTGTGGGAAGTGATTCACCTCCTTCACCCACCAGCGCCCAGCCTGGCGTTTGGTCTGGCACAGACCCTGTAAAGGTCATGTTGTTGCCACCTTTCCTAAGCGACCAGGCACAGCATGTTAGTGTCCGGGGACCCTTTCGCCTCTTCTGCCAAGCCACAGGTAAGTCGGAGGACCCCGCGTGAGCCAGCACTTTCTGCGGTAAAGCTTTAGATGTGTGGCCGTGTCCTCATGAACGCGTTTGATGTAAAAGGCGACCGTTTCGGGATGTCTTACGAACGTCACGGTGACAGTCGGCGGTTTAATACTTTTCAGAGTTGGGCGCTGCCAATACTGTAATGCCAAAAAGGGGTCTGGTTTAGCCGCCTGCTTAAGTACGTTAGCAGTCGGTTGACTTGAACGGGCTCCTTTCTGTGCCGAAGTCGCCGACGGAATCGCGATTGTGTATGGATAAGTTTAGCAAGGAAATATTTTCACACTCAGCATTGTATACCATTTTAAAAATACTTCAGTTGAATCCAGCTTGATTGGTTTGGTATTGAGTTTATTTTCCTAGACCTGGTCAGATGCATTTTTTTTTTAATTATTACTATTTTAAACAGTAAAGCTCTTACGGTAATGATAACATTTACTTCATAAAACGAAAGTTATCTGAGGTATATAGTTGAAGGTCGAAGCTGTTTTTTCCATGGAAATTCAACATTTGTCTTTCAGCTTTTGTTTGGATGGTAGTGGTCTGTTTAAGCTAAGTGAGTTTTAATGGTTATAAAAGGTCTTAAGATGTAACTTTGTTTCCTTGAAATAAGAGAATAAGCTTAAAAATGTTCACTGCTGCTATAGGCAGTGTGCGTAGAAGCTTTTTATTTCCAGCATGAGAAAATTGAGAATAATAGACGTCTTTTGCTCCATGAGGTTACACTAAGTAGTCTGTCTGATAATCATGCTACAGATCAGGAATTTATTTTTAAATTGCTTCCTTTTTTATCCAGTGATGTCTCTGTATTTGGTATCTGTTGATGTCTGTTTCAACACGTTTTTCACGTGCTGCTGCTTAAAAATTGTCAGTAACTGTAATTGCCTCGGCAGTAAACTTAAGACAGAAGGCGCTGTGTTTTAAAGTCACCCTGTGGATTTCAGTGCTGCAGAAGGGTAGGGACAAATAGTGCAGGGAGCTGCTACAAGACTCGGGCTCTGAAAGGTGCAGTAATGACTCGGGGAGACCAGGCGTCCTCATACTTGGAGGCTGAGATTAGTCACTGGGGAAGGAGTTTCCACCTTCTCTCACAAAGCAGTGAATCACTAGACTTCATCTTGTGGATGGGTGCTTCATTCTCTTCAGCAGATAAGACATTCGGCTGATGCAGCGCACTCCTCCTCTTACTCAGAACTGCAATTTCTGTGCCGTTGATTAAAAATAAATAAATGAAAACCAGCATACCAAACTGATACAGGCCTTCTGCACCCTTCCGGGACCTGTCTGTGAGGATGTATAAATTTATTCCTGGGGGATAAGCAGACACGTTTACCAGGAAGCTCTCTGCTTGGATTTATTCACGTTCCTTCACTGATAGTTGATATTTCTTTAAGTAAAACATAGCTGTAACAGAACTTTATTTCCCCTGGCAATGATTATAACGCAAAATGTGTTTGCAAAGAACAGAAGAGCAAAATGAGACTGACAGAGTTAAGTGTCTTAGGCGGCCTTCTGATTAAAGGATGTGGGGTAAGCAAGGTTCCCCGTCTATATATAACGCAGACAGATTGCCACCTGATCTGCTCAGAAAACGGAAGCTGCTTTTTTTTTTTAATCAGGTTCCTAACGTTATTTTAATGAGGACGATTGAGTTTCTTCTTTTTCTGAATCATAAACGTCTGCTTCAAGCTGTCTGGAAACGCAGCAGGAGTTAGTTCGCTTATTCATCTCTCATTCATCCCGCGCGTTTTAATCTGAAAGCCTGCCTAAGGAGAATACTTCCCAACCTTGTAACAGGCTCATTTCAACAGCAGCATTAAGATAAAGTGGATAGAGCACAAACAGCCACTTGTCAGGTTTTGTTACTTTTGCTGGAAAAAGGAGTTTTTTAAGAATGAGTTACCCTTGCCCTTCCAGAAAAAAAGGAAATACATCTGCCCCCTTAAATTGCTTCCAGTTTTTCTCTCTACTGCCCTGAAAAGTCTCATGTTTTCACATGTCTCCAAAGACCTGTTAGATAGGTGCTAGCAAATATTAAGTTTCCTGTATACTTTCCTTATTGTAACTTTGTCTGCTGTCACAGCATTTTTGAACACTTTGAAGACACTTGAGGCAGGTTTGAAATAAATTGAACAGACTACTACACCATCTGGTGCAGGGGAAAAGGCGGTGAGTGGATGATGTGCAGGACTGCTTTATAATTTATCTCTACTGTGCTCTGTTGAATATAGATATAGTAGAAACAAGCTTTTTTAAACACATTTTAGCAGAATCAATGCTACTACTTTGACCCCCCGCCCCCGAACTGCAGAGTATAAGTATATCCTTGACCTTAATTTCAGAGACAAGTTAGGTAACTAGAATATTATGCTGAGCAACAATTTAAATAGATTTATAGACGATAAGAAACAGTGAACAGCATTATGCTTTGTGGTTTTGGCCTGCAGGTTCAGGCTCTATTTGTTTTCCATGATGTCAAGACTTCCGACCTCCTTCCTTAGTTTGTCTGAAGCTGGAGGTTTTCCATTACTGCTCCTTAACTTTTCGCTCTCATTAAAATAGCCCTGGGAACGAAAAGAAACGTTCTGCAAACGCAGCATCAGGCTTGAAAGGAGTTATTATTTCTTCGAGGTATCGAGATGGGTGCTTGATAACATCCATGTACAATGCCTGTTCCCCGCGGTTATGCTATTTTAAAGGTAGGGCATAATGCAAGAAAGCTTCCCACGTCAGTGTGGGAGACGATCCATAATTCCCCAGAATCAAAATCACGAATGATTTATTACTGTTTTTCTCTCTTAAGTGAAGCTTAAAGTTCTGCTGAAAGGCATGCAGGAGAGTGGCAAAAATGCGATACATGGCACGTCCCGGGGCCCTGCTGCAAACTGCGTAAAACTAGACAAAAGAGTCTGCGTAGCGAGTCCAAAACAGACCTTGCCTGAGGCCGTGTCCAAATGCCTGAGGTTTGGCTTTCCTCATAAGGCCAAGTAATAACGCAGAACAGGTCTCAACAGAGGCGTCCTCCCTCCCCGAAGCCTTGACTAGTCCTAGATTTGCCCCTGGAGGAGCTCATCCGTCACAGACCTGCCAACCCGCAGGAGCGGGGAGCTTTCCCCTCCCCACGTGCTGCTGCGGACGGGAGGGGGCTCTGCAAGTCGCTCCCGCCGTGCCCCAGGTGGGCTGTCTCCCCTCGGGGCTGCAATGCATTGGGGTGCCTGTGGTTACGGTGTGCGTGTGCCTAGCTAGGGAGCCCAGCCGAGAGATGAACGGAGACATGTGGCACCCAAAGCGGCAAGGCGCTGCTTAGAAAAGTGATTCGTGCTGGCCAAAAAAACGTTTGAGTCTAGGATTATAAATCACGGCATTTCAGTGTCTTGCAACTGAGGCTAGGTGGGATTTTGCTCTAAATTGTAATCTTGCTCTAAGTGGAAGACAAACAGAAAATACACTTTTTTTTTTAAAACCATTTTCTATTTTTCCACCTGCTTTTTTGTGGACTGTTGTATAAAATAATCCCCAGAACGTTACCTCTTCTGAAAGTCTTAATAGGTGTTTCTTGATAATTATGCTTGTGGACTGGTGTGTCATCAGCAGTTTTTCGAACATGAAAATGCTACTGTGTGTGTTTGCGCAGCAGTTAAGTCCCTTAAGTAAAACTGATAGCCTAGAAAGGAAAAGCTTTGCCTCTGCCAGAAAAATTCAATCCGCTGCATAAATACTTGAAAACTTTCTAAAACATTTTGCTAATTTTTATGTAGCATATATTGAGATTAACATGGTGTGCTTTGCCGAAGCAGTACTGCCGACTTTAATCTGTACAGTTATTTATTAATCCACGCTTGGTTTATCTTTATCCTCATGTGGGAATGCTAAATTTGTACCTTGTTAACCAGTTCTATATCCTGCTTTATGTATTATAAATATAAATATAAATTTCTATATCCTTCTTGTCCCCAAACCTCTGGTGTCTGTGGCTGCAGTAATCTGATAATAACTGTTAATTTGTCATTTTGCATACTGTGGTTTTGTACTGCCTCCTTTAATAATTTCTGCACTGGCTGAATCACTTAGAGGCACCTTGGTATGATAAAACCATTCCTTCCATGTAGATCTGTGACAGGCCGCTTCTTTTTTATTATTTAAAGTCTCTATATAAGATATATTAAGGTCATAATCTAAATTTTGTAAGCTGTTAACAGAAAAGGACTTAAGTCATCGCTTAAGTTTGGGAGATCAATTGAATATTTCCGACCACTTTTAAATAAAAACCACGCAGACATTAAACTAAAAGCATCCTTTTTCCCGCTTTAGACTGTGATAGGTTAAGGCTGTCACTGTCTTATGACAGCGTGGGCACCGCCTGTTTCAGGAACTGGGGACTAGTGTGGCCCTGTTACATCTAACAGTGTGTGTTTGCAAACAAGAACAAGAAAAACCCTTTGTAAGTGTTGGTATTACCGTCCTGGCTCTCATGGCTCCTCGGTGGTGGCACCTGTAAGACAACTGAAAATCAGTTTCTGTAAAGATGATGACATGAATGCAGCATTCTTATATTCTGGTGTCAGCAGCAAATTTGACATATTCCTGTAAAAAATTTCTTTTGCCATGTGCACATGTAAAGACAATGGTCAAGTCAAATGTGTGGAAGGATGTGCAAGGAGGACAGTTACTATATATATTTTTTCTTAATATATGCTTTCTCTTAAGGACTAGAATAAGCTTAACTTAAATATAGCTTCAGTCTAAGGCCCCTCAGGATAAAGATGGGGGGGTAATGTAGAGGGGGAAGTAAAACCAAGAGTGTATTAACTCCTTTTCAAAAGATTCAATTCAGCAGAAAAAAGGAAGGAAATGTTTTCTTGTACATTACTGTACAGCTGACTGAATTCATACAGGTTTTTTCCTGTGCAATGAATATAAGGTGCAGAAGTTGGGAAATCTCCTTTTGTACGGCCTTTTTTTTTTTTTTCTTTAACATTTATAAATTAGCAAGAGTCGTTAAAATCTCTTTCTCCCCAGTGAGGAAATCATTCTGGTTAAAACTAGTAATTGTAGCCTGCAAATAATTATTACTGTTGTAATATGCTAAAGCTTAATAACATTTCAAATTACATTCATGTTGTAGCCTATCCTGCATTATCGAAATACCAGTGAATTTTGTAAGTGTTCTGCTGTATTGCTAAATTATATCAACTGCCTCATCTGCCAGCAAAGGACTATGTGCAAATTAAGACCCTTGATAGTCTTCAAACATGTGAAACTGCCTCTTGTTAAAATTTTTAGATCGGTATCCTTTACCCTTTTGACAGAATAATTTCTCCCAAAGGTCTGCTGAGAGTCAGGAAAGCAACTGGTACCTTCTCTTTTGGTTAAAAACCGTACAAAGCAATATGTGAGTGAAGCAACAGCTGTGCTGCTTCAGTTTAGTTCTTTAGTTCTGGAATTAGGTGCTGCATAGGCTTTTTGCAGAGACAAGCTGATTAGATTACAAAAAACAAAAAAAAAACAAAAAAAACAAAAAAAGCAGGATTCGCCATCTGATTTTTAATGTACGCATGCAAGATAACGTGCACATTACTGACAATCACAGCTTCTGCTCCTAGCAAGGATTATTGGGGGACCAGAACTGTGCAAGAAAAAGATGTTTTGCAGAATCCATGACAGCTTTTATAGTATGACTAGCTGTAAATAAAATGTGAAGTGTGCTTCACGTTTGGGTTTTCAAGATCCAAGTATACTTTTGAAAAGGTTTTCCAGGACATCTCTTCTGAAAATCTCAGGAGAGATTCGCTTTGCTCTGTGTTTGCTTCTATATACCATTTGCTTATAAGGTTTTATTTCACCTCCTTGCTTAGCTGTTCTTTTGCAATTCATCATAAATAATTAAACTGTTTTTCTCCTTGCCTAATATGGAACTCTGATTCCGTAACGTCTCAGCTCAGGCTAGTATTAACTCCTAAACCCTTGTCATGATTGAGAAGTTTAAGATTTCCCAATCCTACCTAGTAAGACATATGATAGATTTGGGTTGGTGTTGAAATCGCTGCAATATGATGCCAACGTTCACGTTCTTTTCTGCAGAACTGCTTGTTACCCTGCTAACCCTGTTTGCAAACCAATGTGTTGGGCCCTGGACTATAGAGACTATCTTTACCTTTCCTTTTCTCCGCTTACCTTTGACAGCTACCTGTAGGCTTATAATAAATAATCCTTCAATCTGATGGCCGATTAACTGGGTAATTATTTGGAACACAGCTGTCACTCATTCTTTAACCATTTCAGCAGAAATTGCTTACCAGAGCTGCTTCACTAATATCATGTGCATTGTCCTCAGTGAAGATCAAAATCTCATTTCCTTCTCTTCCAGCCTTTTTCCTGCCAGCTGAGTCTGGCAAACAACTGAGCAAATGCCACAGTTTACACTCTTCCTTAAAAGAGGGAATGTGTTTTCCAGTTTCCTTTTCCGCCTTATTTTAAAACTTAAATATATGTAGTATATTAGCTGATAAGAGGCCAAAAGCAAGCAAGCAAACTCCAACTGGAAACTCAACATCTAGTTCTAGCTGATGTAGCTAGATCTAACTAGTCTCTAGTTCTAGCTTGCCAAGTTTGTCTAATTAATGTTTACAGGCTGTTATCTGGGTTCCCATTGCAAACTCTTTCTTGGACCCACTGGGAGAATATCTATATGCTATTGAAGCTGAGATCCACAGCCGCTGTGTGTTGCATTTCCATCTCATAGACAAGTCAGCCATTTCCCCCATCTGCTTTCAGTTTTTTTTTTTTTTTTTTTTTTTTTTTTGCTGAGAAGGCAGATGATGCTGTGTCCTACTTTCATCTGTATGCATTGTGCATTGCCCGTGCTAGTGACAGGAGACTTTTTCCGGCTTGTATGTGGTTTGCATTTCACGCCAAGCCCTTCTTGTTTTTATCCCTTTTGATAAGGCAGTGTCAGCTTGCAGAGTTGATGTTTTTATAAATGTACTACTACCTTAACAAAGGCACTAGAGTTTTGAAGGAGGGTGTCACTGTCACTTGCTGCTTGAAGTGATAATCTTTGTTGACATTTTGGAAGGATCTGTTTTCCTTGGGCTTTTTATCTGAGATTTTTCATTGCTGTTTCAAGCTATTCGCCCTTTCTTTTTTGGAAGGCTAATGGATTGCACTTCAATTTAACAAGGAAGACCCAGTTAGCTGGGAAATAGAGTGGATATACAAAGCCCTGCCTGACATGTCCATTTCAGAAAACTGCAAGGGTTTTTGTGTAAGAAGATCTTGATTTAAGGAGTTTTTTCCTTTTTTTGCCCCCTCCAACCTTCAACCCTTCTGGTAGCTTCATGGAGCTCTGAGCAGCCTCCAGTCGAGCTTCTCCATACTTATTGAGTAGTGCTGCTCATTGCTTTCCATGTTAATGATTAAGGATGGACTAACCTTCTCCTGGGCTCGCTTTGATCTGTGATTTAAAATAATCTTTCTGCACCCAGATTATAGCGTGTTTTAAAAACTTAATCCCTGCTCTGGATGAGAGCTTCCTATATGATCTTGATATTCTGAAATGTGGGATGTTCAGTACAGCAGCCTTCAGTACAAGCCAAAGCTGCAAGCTAGATATTGAGCATTAAATCCAGATGTCTTTTTCTTTTTATTTTTTTTTTTAAGATTAACTTTTCTGTTTCTGTTTTTAAATCATCTGCTTGCTGCCAACTTTGGGAGGGTTTTTTTAATATCTGTTGTGGAATAAAGGAGTCATTCCAAACCTAAACTTCCTGTCACTTAAGATCATCTCTGGTGGCATTGCTGTGTCTAGATCATGGGAATTTGTGGAAAAGACTGTTTTGTTACCCTGCTAAAATTTCTCTATGGGATACCTGTCAGTTATCTTCACTGGATTTAAACTTGTTTCTGAGTCTCGGAGATTAGTTTAGCTGGGGAAAGCGTTAAGAAGTTTAGGATTGCTGACAGTTCAACTCCGCCTCCTTCTATCTTGACATGTTTCTCCAACTAAATTTTAGGGAAGCCTTTTTTCAATGTTATCCTTTAATTTCAGGAACTAAATACCATGCTAAAAATACTATGCTAAAGCAACAACAGTGTGGTAGTGCTTCTCAAGTATTTTACTCTACAGTTTTCGTGAGGTGGCTTTTGAAACGTGCACGCAGCTCTGAAGGTTTTGGCATGTGACAGAAGGAAATGGATTGGCCAGTGTTCCTCCTCTGCTCCCCCCCCCCCCCCCATTTTTTTTTCGAGCTCTACTTAATCCATAATCTCTTGCTTTTAAATTAGTATCCCAGAGCTTTCTTGAAAGCATGCCATTCTGAATCTGTACCTTTAGACTTTAGTTTCAGTCCTTTTGAACTAGATTCCCCCCCCCCCACCTTAAAATAGGGAATTTACACCAATACTTCACTGACTGCAGTTGACTCTGGGTAGAAATTTACTTTACAAGCAGCTGCAGTGGTTTAAGTTTTTACCACTTTAAGTTTATCTCTGTCTGCCAAAACTGTTCCTGTAGAAGATCTGGAGGGGAAAATCCATCTCGCTTGTAAACGTGTGGTTTTTGCAAACCTGGCTGACTTGAAGTAGGTTAGAGAGCCTGTGCTGCCAGTAGAGCTGCCAGGGCAGTAACGTTTCAAAGTGCTGACAACAGAGGTGCAGACAATTAAAAAACGTGCAAAAGTAACAACCGCTTTCACAAATACTGGACACTGAGGGGCTTGCACTGAGGAAACGGGTAGTTCTGATAGTGCAACAAGGGTTTTGTTGCTGTTGCTTTTTTTTTTTTTTTTTACTTCATTTTATAGCTGTTAGCCTTCCTGCTTTTTACAATAGCTTAGGTGGTAAATTAGGTTGTTAGTAAGTATGTACTGAGATTGGAGCAATGGTTTCAAAGTAAGTGAAACGTTTAAAATGCCTTCCATTGTTGCTTAAATGTAGCTATTTACATATCCAGACTGTCTTGCTGTTTAATTCTTTGCTTGACTATTATGTATTAATAAGATCACTTTTTTAAATCTTTCAAGCAGTCTTAAAAAGGATGGCAATGTAAGTAGATTCGTTTTTTAAGCTTTGCACTGGACACACATGTCATTTGTGTTATGACACCTGTAACAAATGTAGGATAAAAATGTAAATGTATGTATCTTTGAAAAAGACTTCTCTGTTACACCTTAAGTCTGAATTTATCTTACTCTAGAGTTGTAGCAAAGTTAAAGAATGTGGCTCAAGGTTTTTACAGATGAAACTCTGTCAGCATATGTTTCTGTTGCTCAATCATGAGACGTGAAAAGTAAGACACAGTAACAGCAGAGCCTGAGAATCAGGACTGAACCGCAGTGAAACACGAAGATCAGGAAAAACCCTCTCTTCCACGCAGTTCACAACAGGCCCCTGACCAGTGCTTGCGTCTAGATTTTGCTGCCAAGTAACTTGTACAAGTCTTGCGTGGTGGCGATCCCCAGCGCTTCTGACTGCATACAAAACAGAGGTAGTCACGGGTCTGAGAAGAGCAAAATTACCCAGTTGCAATTTGTTCAGGAGCTGACCTAAGACAACACTGCTTGCAAGATTGCCCAAATAAGTAAATTATTGGATTTCACACTTGGGAAAACTGAGTTTTGGGTAGCACTGCGATCTTAAACACTGGAAAACAGAAGTTCTTTGGTGTAAGTAAGAACAGGAAACATTTGGAGCAATTTTAGGGAAGTGGTCTCCATCAGTGCACTGAACGTGCCACTTTGTCGCCTGGCCCTAAAATAAGGTTTTTCAAGCCCCCTACTTTTAGGCAGGAAATGCCTCTAGTCCCATGTGTTAGGACCTGAACTACTGCTAATAAAGTTTGGGAGCTTATGGCCTTACCTGAGCACCTGACTTTTAGCTTTACAATGCTAGAGTAATACTTCTTTATTTGACACTTGTCAAAGCTCATCCTGAGACCTCTGTCCCATCATTCCCTCGTCTTACTGATCTTCATTTTGATCAAGTTAGTTTTCATTTCTCCATTCTACAGCTTGACTTCCAGTGACACTATCACTTAATTTCTTCTCTTTATTAATATAGCATCAGCTATATATGTTGCATCTCTTAAAAAAAAAAAAATTCTAATCTAGAGTAACTCCAAGGAACATTCTCTGAAGGTAAGTAAGTTTCAGCTCTTCAAAAATCTATTTTTTTTTAATCCCAAGATTTTTGGCTTGGCCCTATGTTCCTGTTATTCCTTCTGTTCACCCAAAAAACAACTTCAGCCTTACTATACTGGAATAATTTGTTCGTGGATCCAGATTTCTCATGTTTTTAGCTACATGTGACCTACATACTGTTAATAGACGTACAATCACCCATGAAAGATTGATTTTTTTTTTTAAATGAATATCTACATTTTCAGCATATGCTTGCCCTCTCCACTTTTGTCCAAGCTGCTGTCAGTACTTCTAAAGACACTGTGCCATTCACCCTCTTCCCCCAGGAGAAACTCTTACCGGGTTTTAATTGGATCATTCATCTGTGCTCTTAGTATTATTTTATTTCAGGTTGTAGGGTATTAGTTTTGTTTCCAAACAAATTACGAATTTAAGAAGTCATTACATTGAGAAGTGCACTGAATACTTTCTTTTTTCTTTTTTTTTTTTTTTGGTCTGCCCTTCATGATAATTTACAGTATACGTAGTTTTCAGGACACAGACCTAGAATCAAATATTTTTTTTCCACAAAAAAAAACAAACACATCAATTTGCAGTCAAAAGCTGGTTTCTGTAGTAAGCTACCTCTTTCCTAGAACATAGTAGTAAAAATCCTTTATTTTCTCTCAACCCTGAATTTTACATCTTCTCTTGTTAAGGCTAGTCTGGATCATAGGCCCCCAGGGAGTAATACATGTTTTAAAAGTCAGTATTACTGCAAAGTTCTTACTGTGGCCCAGATGCTTTTCTTTTAAATGAAAAAACTCTGATGTTGCCAAATACATGTCAGCCGAACTTGCTAATTTTCTGGGAACAGCTGTTCTGTCCTCTGGGCTACTGTCAGTCTCTGATTTATTCAACTTCTGTCCTCCCAGGTAAGAGGAATAATGGCAATAAGGCTTAAAGATTACACTGCTGTTTGTTTGTTGTTAATCCAAGCTTCTTCCAAGTTCTGTCCTGCCTAATTGCAGTGACTAGCGGTTCTATACTTTTTCCAATTTTGCTACTTTCTTTAGTTCCAGCATCTTTGATGTGCTGAGTTCTTGAACTATTTTCCCTGCTGTCCTTTAGTTCAGATTTTACAATGCACGTCTCAGATGGTCTCAACTTCCATAGCTCGATCAAGCACTAGGCAGCATTACCTAGTTTTATAGGTAATCAAATCACATAGGCTGATAATGCTGATTTAATTATCATCTAGTCTATCATGCTTGCAGGGTAAGTTCCCACTTGTGTGAACCCAGATGCTTCCTTTCTATGACCTTTTAGGCTTGAACCTCATTATCAATGTTGGTGGTGGTGTGTGTGTGTGTTTTTTTTTTTTTAAAAGTCTTAGCTTTTTGGTACCTAGCATTTCAGTTAAAGAAACCTAAGAAACATTACACTCAACCTTTGAGTCTAATCTTAAGGTCTTAGTCTTTCATTTTGTGTTCAAAGACTCATCTTAGTAATGTTTTCCAACAAAAGCTGACTGACATTTTTACAGGTCCAGATGATTCCCATTTTGTATGGAAGAAAAACAGACAAAAGATGCAGGCATGCATCATGGAGCAATCTCATACGCTGGTTGATGGCAGACTGCATATTCTAAGCTGGGTGAAAGATTCAATATCAGAAAGTACAGAATATAAATGTTCGGTTGTCTCAAAAGTTGGGAACGCAACATCAGAAGTGCTCATCACAGTGGAAGATAAAGGTAGGCTCACGCTGAATGTATGCTGTGTTTGTCCTGACCCTGATAGAAGGAGAGCTCTGTAACTATTTCACCCATAAAATGCATACACAGGTGGAGATGTACCCACTTCAAGTGCTTGTTTAGGAAAAGCTTTTACAGTCATAAATACTGCTTTTTCCCCTTCCCCCAAAGAACTAACTTGCAAATTAGCAGTTATGATCTAGAAATGAAATTGTAACTGCTACTTACTATAAAAGTCAATCTGTTGTCAAGATAATCTGAAGACAAGCATAAACCAGAGTTCATGGTCTACAGCTATTAGTATGTTGTTGCCCTCTCTCTCTCTCTCTTTCTTTCTCTCTCAAAAAAATTAAATCTTTCATAAAGTCACAAATAGCAGATAAGACTTCCTGGTAGGCAGATTTGAAGGAAAAAATGCAGCAAGTTAGCTAAGTGCAGCTGAGGCAAATTATAAGCTCTTTTTTCACTGCAAACAAAACTAATAGACACAAATTGAAAGTCAGGTGAGTACTAAGGGTTATAAGGGAATAACACTTCACAAGAACTACACTGGGTAACAAAGAAAAATCCTTTAATGCCAAGGAAGTTAAATACTAGAGACACCCCTGCCCCAGTCCCTTGTATTTAAAAAAAAAAAAAAAAAAATTAAATCTGAAGTCAGGTAGGGACAGTTCCTACCTCTTCACTTTGATATTAATGGGCAGGAGATCAGCTAGCTAACTTGAGCACCTGGGCAGGATAAATTCATCTTTAGGTACCCAGAACTGACTGATGCAACTTCAGGACTACTTGCGACTAGCTTGTGAGAACTTAAGCAGACCTGGAGAAAGGAACGCACAGTCTTTAACAAGAGAGGAGGAGGAATTAATGTAATATTTTTCTAGAGGAACAAAATGAACTATTTATAATTAGTAGGTCAACACCAAATATGAATTTTTCAAGACTAGCTCATCCCAGCTTTTTTCAGGGATAAAGGAAAGCAGCGGAGGAAATCCGTTTCTCGCAAGCATTCCAGTCACTTTAAAGTTAGTCTTGGAAGCAGAATAAAGAGCATCTCAGTGAAACTACTGTAAATGTCAAACAGTGGCTGCTTTCACTGAGTTCCAAAAGGTTCTATGTTGTCACTAGTGTCTTGAAGGATAAATTAAAAAAAATATATATTAAATCTGTGTATGTTCCCACTACAGTGGTAGGGAATGCAAGAAAAGCTGGCAGAAAGGATTGGAACTAAAACTTTGTCAGGTTAAGATGCAGTAAAACAACCCTTCTTAAATTCTTAAAGGAAGAACGAAGAATAACTAGCTACATAACATTATTGAAAAAGGGGGAAACTACAAACTGAACGGAGCCAGCAGCAACATGTCATTCTTCTCCCCAGCCTTGAAATGATCTAACTACAATGTTCCTGTGCTTCTAGATGGATTTAGCTCTGCTCATTGGTAGGTCATGTTTTCTAGACCTTGACTCATAGATTAAAGGCACAAAAGCTGTTTGCTCTGGAGGTTAAAATGTCTTCTGCTGAGGGGAAAAGACACGACCACTTGAATAGAGGTTAGTTCCAAATAACTTGAGGCCAGATAGAGCAGAACAGAGGACAAGATGGTGGCTTTTGTTCCTTTGAGCCCTACCCTCTGTGAGAATTACTGCAACTGAATAGCTCAACTTACTTGGGTATTACTTTGTAAACAGGATGATTACATAACTATTTTCAGATAGCACTGGCCAGGATGGATGGACCAAAGAACTTGATAGCTGGAGAACTGCCATCAGTGAACATGACAAGATGATGCAAAACTGGAAGAAGACATGGGTAAGAATTATTGGAATAGAAATCTCATACTGTGCTTTCTACATAACACGCTACAGTCTAATTTTACAGTAGCTTATGACGCTTCTGCAACTGAAAGCATTTGTATAACCACCAGATCAGTGTTCCTGTGCATGATGCCATTCTGGATGGACTCTCTTAACAATAAGATCTGTTTCATTCATTTTGTATATTACCGTTATGTCGGCTTCCTCCTTCTAGCCACTTACCAAGAGCTAAATCAGTAAGAAAAAAATAATCCTGCCCAAAACGGTGAGACTTTGTATACCGAACATAGCAGATTCATTTGACTGCATTTGTAAGACTTTAATCGGGTTGCAGGGACTATCAGACTTCATAACTGGTATTGTCTATCAAAGCTGGCCTTTCTTTAAAAAAAGAAAATCTGTATGTCACTTTCAATGTTTTTCTCCAACAGTTAAAAAGGGAGATTACTTTTGATATCTTTAGGCTATGACAAATACTTGTGGCATGTGGAATAAACAGTATAGGCAACCTTTAAAACCCATTTTACTTTAAACCTGTATTAATGCTTCATTCTGAACTTTTTCACCTTCAGGAGAGCTGCAACAAGAAAAACACCCTCTAATGGACAAAGGAATGAACAGGCTAGAGTAAGAAATGTATGTGAGTTAGAATGCCCAGTACTCTAATACTGCATTCAAAGAGGTATTTGCGAGTGCTAGTGCTGGCATTGGGGTTGATATTCAGGAGAATCAGCTGAAGGTCGAGGTGGAACAGAATTTCCTTAGTGCACCAAAGAATAACTTACTTGCTACAAGAGAGGCCACCAATCCCATGTTGGAACCATCTCTGGTTATCTGATGCCAGTCACTTCAGCTTAACAAAGAACAAAAGTGTTTTTTAGTAAGACTTGTGCTACTCAAACAATATAATATGGTCTATGGCTTCTGTTTTGAGTTCATTAAGCAAACCAGTTCTTCCTGGTCTTGCTGATCTTGGCATATGAATTAGAGATCAATAAGTAAGGTCTGGATCGCATTTATTTAAAGGCACTTCCACACTCCCATTTATTTTCTTTTAATATGTTTACCCTTAAACCCTGTTCCTAGTGTTTTAAAGAGCATTCCTTTCTGGTGTCAGCAAGTTCATTTACAATTTAACTTAGCTGCTCAAATACCTTTGATCACAAAAGTTTCTGTATCAAATAAAGACATTCTGATTAATGCTCAAAATATAGGAGGCTTACAAAGCACCCAAGTTAAAGCAGACTGCTTAGTTACTGCAAATTATTCTGCAGAATTTGAGATAATTGTGGTAGTTTTACACACTTGTGTGTTCAATGAATTTTAAGATTAAAATGGTATCGAGTTCACTTACTCTTAGTGAACAACTGCAGATTGTAAATGTGGGGACCTACTAATTACACAGTGAAATGATGTTTTACTGCACTGCTGTTCAGTTTTGTCTTTCTGCAACCAATAAATAAAAAGTTTGAGGCACAATTTAAGCTTTCTGTCTTTGTCTTCTCAGCGCTCTTCAAAAACCTCAGAGTAAGATGTTGTGCTTACCTAGACTGCTGCTCCTAGCAATAGGGAAAGCTTCATACTTATTCCTATGCTAATCCCTAACTGGTAAGACTTAAAGTGGGAAACAAACCATCTAATTTAAAGAAAGCATTCGCTCTGTCCTTAACTTTGAGTCTTTTCTAAATGACCTATTTATTTTCAATGCCAGACCACCTTATTGTCATGCGTGCTGGGTAAAAATTCTTACACAAAAACCATTTTTCCCTATTTTTCTTATTAGCAATCACAAATTAATCCTGGTGTGGACTTCTGATACTAAGGTTCAGTGGGAACTGTTTTTTTTTTTTTCATTTTGTTTCTGCTTATTACATTTTTTTATGACTAAGGCACAATTAAAAAGACTTTTCTTAAATTGTCCCTCTTTCATTTGTTCAACTAATTTTGAACAGATTTAAGTTTGTTTTTTGTGTTGTTGCATGAGAAGGTAAGATCTTTATAGGACTGAGGTGAGAGGTTGGTTGGTTGGTTTGTTTTGGACAAGCATAGCTGTGTTTTGCCTTGTCACTGCAAAGAAGGATCACAAGTAATAGAAATTGGTTGCCACTTTTTTTTTTGTTTAGCTCTACTTTGCAAAGGCATACAAGGCATACAAACTGCTGACAATCCATATGCTAACCTAGTAGAGCTGGAGAACCCCTAGGAAGAAAAAAAAGGTGCTAACAATCAGGGTGGCTGCATTTGTTAGATCATGCTACTTTATCCCCATTAGCTTTTCTGGTATTACCTCAATTTTAAATTAGTTTCTTCTTCAACTTACTGTGCTCCATTTTGTCCTCATTGTTAACAACCAAAAAAAAAGGAAACAGACCAATTTCTCTTACTGCCTGAGGCAGCAGAGGCCCTCTGATACTTAGGACTGGTGCAGCAGAGCACCTAGCCATAATATACTAGCAGAATTTTTACCAGTAAAACCTGCCATAACAAGAAAGGAAGTAAGGCTAAAGCAAAGCTTTTTATACCTGTAATTAAGTAGATCACAGGCTTTTTTCTAATCTTCATTTCTTTGAACACACGTGTGGGCCAATCAATCAGTTATGGCAACAGGGCTTCATCACACATTCTTAATCTGTGCAAGACCATTTCTGTAGGAGTTTATATACTAAATGCCTCTCAAGTCACTATGAAAAAACATTGGTTTAACACAATTAGTAAACAGATCAATAACCCCATACAGTGAATTCCTTAAGGAGTTACTTCACCTTCTCCTTAGAAAGTGGCTAAGATTCTGTATAAGCTGTAACGCTTCCAAAGTCGCTCTGAATGCTCCTCTAGGATAAGACAAAAGCTGTACAGAAAATAAATACAGCAAACACCAGGACGCGCACTCTCCAGCAACTACCCTTCCATGCTACCATGCAGTGACTAGGAAAAAAGGTTTAGCAGCTTTAAATGTGCATCAGTGGCATGAGTGCCAACAAACAGCAACCTACCTTGGGACCAAGGATATGTCTTGCAAGTCAAAACCATCCTTCATCAGTGAGATCTTTCATCCTTAATTTCCATTTAAGATTAGGTGAAACTAATGCCAAAAGACGATTGCAAACAGTGAACAACTGTGCATTTCAGCCCAATGGTGGTTCACTTATTTACTTTCTTTCTTTAAAGGAACATGTTCTTCCTCAAAACTGACAGTCCAGATATCCATTAACTGCCCACCAGAACAGTTGACTTCTTTTAGGTCACAAAGAATTGCACTTCAACCATACTTTATCGAATCAATATATTATAGCAGATTTTTATACATCTTTCTTACATTCTACAAAATTGTTTGGACTTTGAATTTAATATTTAGAGTTTTTTTTAAAAATATATATCACCTCTAGCTTCACAGGGCAGCTACTTTTTGAAGTATTGCACTACAACTGGTAAAGGTGGTAAAGCATTTACAAACATACTTCAGAGAGGCTGGCTGTAGCACCTGGCACCAATCGCATCTTTCAGAATGCTTGACAGAACTTCTTATGCAAGTATCCTCCACTGCAGAAAAGGGAGTTCTCTAGGCTTGTCATTTGATGTCTGCAAGCAATAAACAATGGTATTTCTACAGAGAATTCCCTCTAATACGCTCTACCACTGTTATGTGCATGTTTAGTTTTACAAAGTTTTTATCCTATATAAGATATAAAATTTCCCTTAGATGCAAACAAAGATTGACTAAAAACTCTTATGGTTATACAATGACAGAACTCCAAACTGAAGCAAAGAAGAGTGGGGAGGAGTGGAGAAGCAGGGAGAGCAGGCTGGCCTTTTTCCTGACCTTCAACATCCTCTAACTTCAAGGCAAGACCTAGAGTAAACTTGTCTTAATAGCATCAGGGAGCAGAAACATCCTCATTGTTCACCCTAGCGACTTCATAAAATTCCTAAACAGAGTTTTTTGAGTTCAGTGCTCTCAGGCCTTTGTAGTCCGTGCTGTCTCCCTTATACCTGCTGTATGATGCCCTAGAAGGGTAAAGTATCACAGGGAAAGAACTGTGAATTCTGTCATCATGGCTTTCCTTAATTAGTTTAAATCAAGCTGCCTGCCTAAAAGGCATTTCTTGCTTTTACTGGAAGACAGCGACACTGATGCCAGTCTGCCCACCTTACCAGCTTTATGTTTAAAAAAAAAAAAAAAAAAGTTTCAAGTTGTTTAAACAAGACTTTTAAAAACAAAACAAAACACCCAAGACCCAAACTACTGGCTCTTAGAATCACTTTCCCAAAGAAAACCATCTTTCTAGAAAGTTATTTTGGCATATGGTACCCCTAACAAATCAATGCTAAGTCCATTAAACCATTAGCAGTACGCCAAGCCAGTTCAAGTGGTTCTGTGTTAAGACAATTTGTTTACTGTTTGTTATAGTCTGCTATAGTAATCAGCCAAGTACACAGAAACCTAAAAGAATTAGTCAGTGCCTCATGTGCTCCAGTGTGCATTTTGCTTAAAAGGAGTCAGAACAGCTTACTTAGCTGACTTCAAACATTTCTTAAATTATCTTAATTTGCTATGCCCTCTCTCTTCCTGGATCTTTAATTTTAGATAATTCAGTATTTACAGGTCTATAAAAAAAAAAAAACTTAAAGCCCCATAGAACTGAATCTGGATTTACTGATGCTCTTCTGAATTCAATGCCAGCACGTCAGTGGTTGCATTCTTTTCCAATTCCAGGGCATATGGGTTATACTCTTCTTCAAGCTTTTTTTTCCAGATTTTAACTAGAGAATATTAGAATGAAAAAGAAAAAAAAAAGTTATAGTATATTACTCAAGGAAAAACTTCAAATGAAAATTCACACTGATGCTCTACTTCCTCCTCAAAGTAAGCGCTGAAGAAAGTGGGCACACAGGCACATACCCCTCTCAGATGTGACATCAGATGAAGAATGAAACACTACTTTAGCCTAGAAGGGATCCAGCGAGGTCTGTTGGTCCAACCCCATGGTCCAGCCTCCCGCTCAAGCAAGGCCAACTCTGAAGGTGGATCCAACTTTCAAAAATTCAAAATTTTCCAACGGTTTCAAACAAGTTTTAAGTTGTCTAGTACCTGTGATAACTGTTTGGTGAAGGCCTTTACATAGTGTGAACACTTTTGGACAGGAAGATGCATCTCAAGCAAGCTTCAGCACAAAACTTAACGCTAGAATGAGTAGTTCTAGAAAATTATTTAGAGGAATTTTTTTTTTTTTTAAAGGAAGTAATAAGGAGCTCCTCAGTACCTCCTCAGAAAAAGCAGTGTGTGCCACGTGCCATCAGGGGATTTCAGAGGGATCTTCTCTAAGAGTTTCTCAGCCAGACCTGACCACAGGTTTATAAAATTATGAAGAAAAAAAAAAATCACAGAAAAGCAGAGTTCTCCCCTTACTAACCACTAACATATCAAATGTCATTTGTTTCAGTGAAAATGGTGTTTTAGAAGAGAACTTTGATGTGAAACAAAAACTGAACCAAAAATCAAGCAGTAAATACTCACTATAATTTGGTACATCCTCATCAGAGTCTCTGGAAGATGTTTTACTGGTTTCTGATAAGCCACTTTTTCCATATTCAGCAGTTAAAATGCTGGAGGGTTTTTCACTTAGTTCTCCTTCAGCTTCTTCCTCTAAAGCTGCTATCATATCTTTGTATGCCTTCCTGGCCTCTGTGGTCAGCTGTACCATTCTATGAAAATGGTCCTATGGAAATGTAAAATATTAATAGCGCTTAAACCATATAGTAAGTTTTAACATCGCCATGAAAATCTATAATGAACACTTCTTATGCAGAACATTACATTTATGGATACAGGCAAGCAACAGAGTACGCCTCATGTTAAATGGTTCAGCCGAAACCCAAAACATGTTTTTAGTTAGTAAGAGTGAAAGGAAAATGTGCCTAGGGATACGTTGCTGCAGTATTAGAATTTAAGAAATACATTTTAAAACTAACTGATGTAGCTTTGTCCACACAACTGAATGCTGCAACGTTTAAAACAGTTTTCTAAATAGTACGTCCCTTTTCAAGACTAGCTCATTGTCCTGAAATTTCATTCAAACAGATATTCAGCTAACCAGAAGGTGGTGATCTTTCAAATTATCTTCCATGTTCACTTTTGGCCTTAGCTTTTCCACTACTCTGCGAGGAGACTGTTTGTAAGCCTCCATGGGCTACCAAAATGCTAGAAAGAGGTAAGTATTCATAAAGATATTAAAAACAAACTAAGCATTTATAAAAACATCAATTTTCTTTGAAGAAAAATTTCAGGAAAGAGATCGAGATGGAGACGGAGTCAGGAAAAGGTGGCCAAACTACTTACGTGAATAGTGCTGAGCAGCTGCACATTTTTAATCAAATTTTTATATAAGCCACTGACGTGGGTTAGAAAGTGTAAGCGTGCAAAAGCAAAACAAACCAAATCTTAAAGGCATAACTTAAGTTGTATTTTTTTCAATAAGTAAAAAGTAAAGCTGAAGAAAAACATGAACCTACATCTTGCAACTTACCTGAGCCCCATCATAGCTAAAAATTCCCACCACGCTCACAGGCACTGCTTTATTCACACAGCGGCCTAGGGCCTTGCGATTAAGGGCAAAGACAAAGGGGATATTTTGTTCACAGGCACAGTCGATAATGTTGTGTAGGGTCTCATCCAACCCACCTGGAGCAGACAACAGAATTAACAAACAACGCTATTCAAGCTGATCATCATCAAAAGACGGTACTCTCAAAAGACTGCAAAAACTAGGAGATTATGGGGGCATTCTGAAAGTTTATAAAAAATGAACACATGGAGCTCAATAACAGTGCTAGATCTCTTTTTCTAGAAGAGAATTTGTCATTTTTTTCTTAATTAGCAGTATCCTCAGACTGCTACTACTCCATATTTTGTGTTATGTGAGGAACAATGGGATTTACTAACACTGTTCAGCGTGATAGCATGAGAAAGCTAGGCAAAGGAGTATAAAACCCCCCTGTATGGTTTAGAGATGATTTAAAAGTTGGTAGAAAGTAATGGCAAGAACTACCAAAACACATTTTAAACAACATATCACTGACAACTTATTGCCAATCTACGGCCCAGAAGAACCTGATACCGAGGACTTCTGGCGGCACAGCGGACATCAGTAACTCTTGTCTCCTCTCACCTGTGCCAGCGCAACCACTTGTGCAGCTAGCTGCGCAGCAAAGCAATAGGCAAGCAGATCCTAGTTTCAAATAATTTCTCCAATCTACATATTCTTGATGCAGTTCACACTTCAGCTGCACAGCAGTGAACAATTTGAACAAGGAAGGCCTCTTTACAGGACTGAGTTTCAAAGGCTACTCGAGATAAGGCCCTCCAATAATAATACTGCTGCCATAATGTTGCTGAGTCTGCTTTTTTACATTTCTTTTATTAAGCAAACATAAGCAACATTAAGCAAACGTTACCTTTTGATTGGATCTTTTCACAGTTAGGAGAGATGATGACACACTTCAGTTTTTTCAGCCTCAGATGTTTCAAAACTTCTCTAAGGCCCATAACAAGCCTGCGTTTTATCTTGGCCTTTACTGGGTCTTTCTGATACAGGCGATCTTGGAAACGAACCAGTTCTTTTAGGAGATCTGTCACACAGCTGTCAACTTCTTTACTAAGTACCTGGCTGCAATAACTGGGAGAAAGAATCAATTAAATGTTAAAAACTCTAAAATTACAAATATATCTTTGTGTTTTTTCTATTCCTACTCCAAACACGCTTGTTATGTACAAGAAAATGGAAATTTACTGCAGATTTTTTTCTGTGGTTGATAAGTTACAGAAAGGTTTGTTACTTATAACAACTGCTTCCCATAACAAACTATACCACCCCTCACTTCTTTTTTTTTTTTTGGCAATATTCCAGCATTTTTCTGAGGACATTCATTTTGATCTACGCAAATCCAACATATGGCAACCAAATTGTAAAATTCAACTGGATTTCTATAAATACACAGCTACTTACAATAAAAATGGTAAATCTGAATCAACTCCCCCTTCCCAGATTGGCATTTTTCGTCTTTCGTTCTATGTCACTTATCATTAGTGTTAGACCACACCTTTGCGGTTTTCATAAGGAAAGGCTAGAAAACAAATCCTTCATCGTTCTATCATTTCTTGGGAAAGATCAGGGTTCCAAATTAATTTTTCCCCAAGTACATCTTCTACACAAATAATTGTTCAATAGAGAAGATTTCTCAAAGAGTAAAAGATACCTCAACTGCAGAAAAGCAACAGAAACATGGCTATATCAATATCAACATTTACTACAAACATGAACTGCAGAAAAGACCAGTGGTGCCTTTATGGGAGGATAATTAAAAGTTAAAGCACTGCTTACCTAAAATAACTGTTATAAACTATCATGACCACTATGCTGGATCTCTGACCTCTTCAAACACAGTAATGAGCACTTTTTTTCTTTTGTAAGGAAACATGCTTACACACATCTGTTTAAACAGAATTAAAGTATTTGTACAAAATAACTCGTAAGTCTTCCTTTTATTTCTCTGCCTAGCTATGACATGAAAATATCATCTGGCTAGTCTCATTCTTTACATTTTTGTCATTTGGTCTGGCAGCAGAGAATCAAAGAACACACTAAATGTAATTACGGTGTCCTTCTCTTAGTCTTGAATGGTACTCCATTTATTTAACATCAGGTATTTATTCTTTAAGAGAAGCTCCTTTTCCTTCTATGGCCTCTAAGGAATGTCTCCTCTTCAAGAACTCATATTTTTAAGTAAGAATTACAAGTATTATTTCTCTGCATATTGTTTCTTCTTTTATGTGCCAACCTTCAGAAAAACTGGAAATAAAATTTAGAACCTTCAGCCCAAACTCCAATTAGTGTTGCACAGAATGCAACTAAAGTTATTCTGTTTGGAAAATGCCATACTTGTGGTACTGTGGAAAAACAGACATCATTTAAAAAAAAAAAAAAAAATCAATACTTACTCTCTAAATCTCCTACTGTGGATTTTTGGAAGACTGGAGTTTAGCTGCTTTGAAGCTGTAGAGCTTTCTGTAGAATCCTCGATCCCTGAGCCCTCCGGAAACCCTTCAGAGTTACTCTGAGCCACAGCAACTTGAGTTACAGGGACAGCTATCACGTGTAAATAAAGATATTTCAATTAAAAGACAGACCAAAAAGCTGATGTGTGAACAAGACTAACTGAGAAAGTACAGGCAGTATCAGCCTTGACATGTTCTAAATTCTCAATAAGCTCATACTGACTCTTGGAAAATTCTAAAATTACAGTCGTTCTTTGGTAGTATTTTGGTACACGTTTCTGAAAGCAGTAAGTGCGCTCACTCTCATATCTCCATCTACACACTGCATTCTAGCCTTCTCTTGAAAAATACCTGCTTGGCTATCCTGTGGCAGTGTTTCATCTTCAGTAGTATTTTCTACAGTCTGACAAATGTTATCTCCATCTTTTGGTATCGCTGTCTGTTCTAACAGGTGCTGCTGCTTTCGCTGTTCTCTTTCTTTTAAAATAATCTTAAAAAAAAAAAAAAAGAAATGAAATCAATTCAATGCCACATAGACAACAAAGCAGTTTTTCCTACCAAATGTTTACATACAGACCATACATAAAGAAATTTAGCACCATTATTCAAAGTTTACAACTTATTTTTTATAATTTAAACACAAATTTTACAGCTCCTCAAAATACAATCACAGAGAGAGAAACATATTTTCTAGAAGTACATCAGAAATAATTTTTTTCTTGACTACCAACGTCCAGGGGGAGAAAATCATTTCTAGTCGTCAGCTACAAGGGCAGAGATAAAGCAACAAATTGGTTCACTGCAGAGAAGCAGATGAAAAGGTTTCTCTCTTTACCTTTCTTCTTCAGATTGCCAATTTGTAGCAATTCAGCCAAACACTCAAGCACGTATATATACTTAAAGCATGCACAGTCCTCTACCATACACACTGTAGTTTGCTTAATTAAGGCTTTACTCTTTCCCGCCTATCCTGTGGCGAAAAAGCCACACTCAGTCTGCACTGGATTGCTGTTTCTGAACTTGTAGACTGAAGAAAAGGAGAAGAAATTACAAGAGATAGCTAATATGTATGGTACACGGAAGAAGGAAGGAAAGTAGGACATACGCTGGATCCAAATATGCTACTGTAGGTAAAAGCAATTATCAGTTTCTTGAAAACCATCTTCCCTCCCTGGCTTTGTAACTGGCTAAGCAGCCCTTATTGTATACATAGCTAGCTCAGCTAATCTGCTCAAACGTTGCAAGGAACCACACCACAGAATCTAACCACAAAGGTAAATTTCCCCATCTGCGTTTGCCAAAGAACACAGAGCAAAAATAACGTACTCAGAGCACAGACGTTACACAGATAAAGCCCATCTTTCCCTTCTCGCACTTACTTTGGAAAACAGATGGTGTAAAGACATAACAGCGAAAATGCACAAGGTAATTACTGAGACCCCCAGAATTTGTTACAGCTTTGTGTTGCTCCATCCTCAACTTCAACTAAGCAGCACGGAATGACCATTAAACCACCAGCTCCGTAAGAATATTTCTAGACGAAGAGTGACCTAGCGATGGAGTGTTATCCCTGGGGCAAGGAAAATGCTAGATATGAAATCAATGGTACCTCAAAATCCTCTGTAAAATCCTCTGTATAGAAGACGTGACAGGAAGAAGCATGAATAGGCAAAGAGGGAGAGACCAGAGAAACCTTCAGGTTGATCTAACATTAGTTGCTGGAGAATCAGCTGAAGTTCTGGCTTGGAAGAGCACAGATACATTACATACTACCTTCGCTTGTTCCATTCCCCTCAGTCCTGCAAATAAGCACATTCTGTCCAAACCCCAAAAGGTTTCTTGGGATATCCCCCTATATCAACGATTTGAACACACTTCTGCACTGGCTGTTCTTGAGCTGTCAAGTGACTTAAGTGAGGAAATGCATCTCGGGCAGAATTTTTATGCTGTCGGGTAAGACTCCTCTCCTTCTCTCCTCCCTGTTTTTTTAAACCAAGGAAAGCTAGAGTTGAATTTATAGACAAGTGGAAACCAAGATGGAGATCTTGAAACTAGGAGGTTTAAACAGACTCAGAGAAGAATACTGAAGTTACATTAGCCTTCATTATGCTAACTCAGCCAAAAACGTGAGCACCTTTTTAAGAGGTGTTGGTCTCTTTGCTTTAGGGACTTCTCTCTGCTTCCCTTTCTTTACCAAAGGAGCGCTGGAATCCAAAGGGTTATGAGGCATCTTTCCTTGGTTTAACCGGTGATTTTTTGTTGCTGTAGCAGGTTCTTTAGAAAGCAATGGTATGGCACCACCAACTGAGATAAAAGAAAGTCTGCATCAGACAACTATAACATATACCTAAACCAAAATCCAAAGCAAGTTTAATAACTGAATTAGGACTAGTATAAACATAGCATATTTCTGTTGCGTTGCTATTTAGAGTGTTCATAGGCGAAATCGCCTGCCATTAAACAGAATTCTTTACTAAAGATAGTGTTTGTTCCCTTCCAAATTAATGACATGTCCTCTACCAGGATCCTACTGCCAGAATCATGAGCTCTATCCCTCAATCTCAAAAGCATTATCCAGCAAAACGCTGCACTCCAAGCCACCCTCAATACCAAGCCATTTCAGCTTGATAAACCTTCAGGAATCTCCATGTTCCACCGTGCCTAGTAGTGGCATTTCCTCCACTACAGTCAGACTCTGCGCTGTGTTAAGGTACGTACTGAGTTGCAGCACGAGAATTTTTTCAGCGGAATGACCTTGACACATCTCTAGAAAACACCCAAAGCTTCTGGCAGTTTGTCTTAAGCCATCTTCATTTAGCGCTTCCGAAGTATTTATGCTGTGATCCTGCAATACTACATACAGTACTACAGCTTACTTCATACAACTGCTGCACTGCAACTTTTCTTTTTTGGTTCACTCTAAGAAATGCAAACTGAGAACACTGCCACAGCAGTTGTGTAGTATGTGAGCATAGGTGGCTAAAAAGAATCATAACTATGACTAGATTTGAAGCAAAACATAAGTATACATCCCTTAAACACCCAATATTTCTTTCACTGTGTATACCACCTGTTCACTTCAAATTCACAGAGGTCTTATGTTCCTGAACTTGATGGCTTTTGCAATTTATGCCATCTTGCATGAATGATGCATTTCCAAAACTGAATTTGAATTCAAATAACTACTGCTTTCCTATGCTCTTCTATCTATGCATTACTTACTAAATGAAGTACTAAGTGGAAGAAAATAACTTCATCTGCAGTCACGTTCCTTGCCTTTCTTGCTCATTTTGTTTCTTTTCTGGTTACGCAGGTCAGTACAATGCCATTTTATAAACTAAACTCACTTTTAGGTACACACTGATTTAATCTGTGCGCTGAATTATTACAAAATATAAAGCTGAGGTAACATCTGCTTTATACTTCCAGGATACCAACATCACATATCAATTCCCCTTGTGCAGCAGCTCCAGATATGAGCAACTAAAGGTTAGATAGCAGGTATTCTGACCCATAAATTTGTGCTCCCCTGTCTTTTTTGCCAATCCATACACTGTATAATATTACACGTCGGCAAAACCGGTTACTGGCATCTCTGCAGCACTAAATTTGATTGATTCCAATGAAAAAATTGTAGATTTTCTTCATTTGCAGAAGAACGATAAAAAAGCATCTTACAAATTCTCTCAGCCAAGGCAAATCTCACTGATGCTCTGTAGTTTCTGCTTTTTCTTTAAAAGCTCAGACAACTATCATATTAAACACTGTGAGTTGAATGTTCCTGCGACTAGCTTTCTTTCCAGAGTATCAAAATAGCGAGAGAAGTTTTGTCATCGTTAAATTCTAGAGAGCATCATGTTTCGTTTTGCAAAACGAATTGTACTAACATAGCCACGATGAAATTTTGATTTATAATGCAAAAGACACGTGAGCTATTTGTTTCTGCTTCCTTGATATGTACCAACAAGGCTTGACGGATTCGCTCCATCACCAAAACCTGGAATTTTGTTAAACTGCAATTATTTCAAAGTTATCAGGAATGACAGAACTCATCTTCTGGATTGGGCTGATCGACTCTCCCATAAGCCCTGTATCTGCAAAGATGCTTTTTCACTGAAGTTACAGCTCTAGGGGTCTTTAGCAAAGAGGAGCTTCAGAAAGCCTTCGTTATTACTCGGCAAAACGAGACCCTCAGTTTTGCTAACACAACTATTTGCTAGGCTGCACTACAAGCTAAATCACTGAACTGATCCAGGCTAAAAAATGGACTCTTTTTCACATGGTCACATTGCAACAGCAGCACATGTACTTAAGATAAGGTGAAAACCTCCAAAAACAAATATTTCCCTCAAAGCTAACTTTCAATTACCTCTCAAGAGTTACACAAGGAATTCTTTCACAATTCAGTGTCCTGAAGATTTTTCTTTCCTCAATTTTTCCTCTAAACACTTCAGACTTTCATGCTTTTTTTAAACTTTGATTTTCTTTTGCATCATATGAACTCTGCTCCCACCGGCATATTCAGAGATCACTACGTATCAGAAATCAGGCCACAGGTAAGGTTTGAACACTTAAAAGCAATGCTAGTTGAAAGATAGGACTTCTAAACATAACCAATACCTGAAAACACCACAGGTTTAGAAGACTGTTTTGACTTCCCCGTTTGCTGTTTCTGCTCCAAGACTGCCAACATGCCACCCAAATCCAACTGCACGGGAATTTGACTCTTCTTACCACTGTTCTTGGATGTTTCCTGAACAAGTTCAACACAGATTAGGAACATTCTCCATTTCAGGATGTAAAAGATTGCATTTTGTTTGGTATATAATACACTCTTAATATATTCACACAGAATACTTTTTGATTTTTAACTTAATTAAATCAAAGTATTTTGATCTTTAAATATACATCGACTTTAATGCAAAAAAAAAAAAAAAGTCCAAAAGTAAGAGTAAATTATTTGAATTGTTTTTACCAACTACTGGGATAAAGCATAAGAATATCAAGTGTTTATTAAAATAGTTGCTTCACGTCAGGCTGCTACTTTGATCCAGCTGCCACCTATCTTTGAAAAAGAAAAAAAGGCTTACTGGAATGGCAAAGTTGTGTTAAAAGTATAGCAGAATCTTGGGTACTCTGTGAATCTTCTAGGGCACGTGACTGCTATGTATATACATCATCTTTGATGTCTTTTAGAAAAGAGAGGTCATTAACTCTTCCTTTAAGCACCATCTCTTGATAAAATTAACAGTAACCTTTCTGTCTGCTTTGAAGAGAAGGTAAAAGTAGTGTCCGACACTTGGCACCACATTCAATAATTCAGATTATAAAAAAAGAGTCATATTTCAGACTAGAAGTTAAAACCAGACTATCCATGCTATGACATATGCATAGTCTAGCAAAGACTCAGAAAGGGCAAGCTACGACTGCATAACACGCTAAGGAAACGACTCACAGATTTACTTTTAGAAGCCTTATCACGGAGGTTCAATTCATTACAGCTTCTGTTACAATGGAGTTAAGAGATGTGACTTCCTCCTCCCACGCCCAGCACCTCATCTTGCATCAGAGCTATGTGATAACCTACTCACTCACGTGGATGGGACTTGCGTCATGATCAAATAGGACATAAGAAACAATAATTCCCAATACCTGAAACTTGCATTTAATGAAAAGCTAATATTTTTCCCTAAAAACTGCAACACTGAAACTTGGGCCTAGCAATTACTACCACGGAGCGTTCCCAATCAAGAGGAACTTGTCGCTTATCTCAGTGACAAAGTATGCCTACAGCCATGCTTGCACTTAGGTCTTACATGTAAACGTGCTAGTTGAGCCTTTGTCATTTTGGGTTGTCATCTTATTTTCAAATATGAATTTAGTTTACCTGTATTTTCTTTCTTTCTAATGCAACAGATGTAGCTTGCTTCCCTGACATTCCATCCACCGTGGGCATTCCATCCAGCTTGGGAAAATAACTATCACAAGACTCTTCGGGCAGATGGACCTTTGAAATTTAGAGACAAAAGGTGATCAGAAGGAAGAGAAAATATTTAAAGATATACATAAAAGGGGAAAGCAAAGACACCACCGAATTCAAAGGAAACGTATTACTCAGACTATCTACAGTAAAAGGGGTTTAAAGATACGATCCAGGTCTGAAGTAGCGAGCAACAAGATTCTTCTAAAAATACAACTGTTTATTGGCTGCTGTACTGGTTAGTGAGACTTTTGCTTTCCCTTCTTTTTTCAGATTTGGGAGGGTGGGGTGGAGGTGGGGGACAGCAAGGCAGCTTCCTCCTCAAATATTTATTACAGAAGAGTACGAGTGTCTTAATGATAGCAGGCCTCTACAATTTAGGTATGTTTTGAGAGGTCATTCCACTTAAGCTTACAAAGTTAAAAGGTTTATCTCACTTAAAGGGTAGGTCTGCATTACACTTTCTTTATAGTAAAGCTGGTTTGAGCAATCAGCATCCCTTTTCCTGCTCGTTTGTCCCTGTCAATGCAATTTATTGCCCCAAGCAAAGCAAACAAAGTTTTTTTTCTTTTTTTAAACCGGCAATATTCACAGTGAAACAAAACCAAGGGACAAAAATTTCTAGCAGCAAAGCTACTTTCAAAGAAACAGAAACCTGGAACTCCATTTTTATTTCTGTTATTTTCTTTGATTTGAAAGAGTAGTCATAGTCTCGATCCTTGGGATTCATGTACGAGTAGCATTTATATTAAAAGAAAAAAAATCTTAGATTTTTAATGCTTCTGTGGAGATTCATGTTCCTTTTACCTCTTTTTTAACATGCAGAGCGTTGGGATAGTTTTAATGTAATAGCTTGCATTTGGCATGGATTCAATGTCCGACTCACAAGTTCTTACCCTTGTACAGTTTGACATTGAACCGTTACACCATTCAGATGCCCTAGAAACATAATTATATGCACAATACAATTATGAAATGCAAAATTAAACCAAAACATTACCTGTAGGAAGAAAAACCACAGAAACAGAATTCATCTCACCTAACTTCAAGTGTCTACAGTGTAGGTGCCTACATATGAGTCAGCTGTCCAGGGTTTAGGGAGCAGTTCACAGACCAAACAGGCATCTCTTTCAGAGTGACATGGATACCGACTACACTGACTAGCTCTTCACTGTGCACTGAGTACCTAAGGTGACTGGCATAGGCACAGGCCCCGATCACAGGCATCTACACTTATTCAGATGAATTCCACCTTTGGTTTCATTTAAAATTTGCAACTTTTTCCTGCTTATTTTCTGGCTATTCAGGTAAAGTCATAAAATTACTCACTTTAGACTGCTTTCTGACAGCAGGGGAAAATGATGACTTCTGAGATCCTAGCCGGTTTCTCCTATCAGAAGCAGCTGCCAGATCAGGAAACTCTTCAGCATCCTAAACAAAAAAAAAGATAAGATACTGTTTTTTATAAGAACTATCAACTTCAAATTCCTAAAACTGAATTATTCCTATGTTTAAATGTTCTCCTCCACGCTTCTTATCAAACACTCATCACAATTTGTTTTACTATACAAAAAATTCATGAAGCTGAGTCTGTCACCAACTGCAATCAGCACTACAATGATTAATAGTCACCTACGAGGCAGCAATAGCTAATTCAGGGATGAAAGAGTTACTCAAAAATGCTTCCAACAGCAGCTTGTTATTGCTGTCAATCTAGACTTAAATGGCTCCTAAAGGAGTGTTTTTCAGACCGTTTAAAAGCCTTGTAAACCACTTCCGCTCTTTTCCTAGTACAGTCTCCAGCTGTGCAATCTTGCCTTAAACGTGCAAGTGGTGAAGAACAAAAGAGTAGGCAAAAGGGTCATAACTCTTGACTGCACTATGGAAATACTGCAGAAATACTGTAGAAATCACTCAAGTGATTATGTACACTTGGATACATGAGTAAATTTTACTAGCACTGGATACATTATCCAGATCATGGATTAACTAAACCACCGGTACAGACAGGCTGGAGCTTGCTCTGCACTGGCCACCTTGCATCCAGGAGCTCAGTACCTCAGTCAACAATGACTGATCCACCAGAGTCGTTCTTGTTTGATTGTTTCTTGTTTCTCCTTGCACTTTTTAGCTGTGTTGCAATACTACTGAGCATACCAACACTTCTTCTGCAGTCTAAAAATCTTAATTAAGTAGCCCATGCTAATAAAGTTTCGCACAAGACACAGACAGGCTGAGTCAGAGCAGTCATACCTTAACTCGATGTCCTAATTTTGAGAGAAGCTTGTAAGTATACTAAAAGAAGAATGCAAGAAAGGGAAAATGAATTCACACTCTTCTGGCTTAGGGACTTCTTGAACCAAAGGTAATATGTGGATTTAAAAAGCCCTCAGCGGAGTAAATTTTTATTTCAGTTTGTCCAAGCAGTTTTTGAATTCACATACATTTCCAGCATTTGCAACATCCTGTAACAATGAACAGCTAAAATCTAGCACTCAGTGTGATTTAACACCTCCTTTTATTTGTTCTCATCACCCGTAACAACGACGGGACATCAAACAAAATTACGAGAAAAAGTAAATAATTTTTACTTTCTTGTAACCTCTGATTCCTTTACTCATCAATTTTACAGACCAAGAAATCCTAGTTTATTCAGTCCTTTCTGATATGTAAAGTGTTTCACACCTTTGATCATTTCTGGAGCCTTTCATGCATCTATTTTAGTGTATGTGTATATGTATAATTTTAAAGAGTGGGGAGCAGACAAGAAAACAGAATCTAGGCTTTATTTGGATCAGACACGTCCTGGATTTTTAGGTGGTCATAATATTTTACATTTTCTTTTCTACTTTCCTAACAATTCCTAACGCTATTTGCCTGCTTGATCAGTATTACCAGCCCTGACCTGATTATCAATAACTTCAAAACCTCTTTCCTGAGGGAAAATACCGAGTTCAGAGCCATCACTGTGTACATAAAGAAAGGATTACTTTTCCCCACGTGCATGACTTTATGCTCCTTAACAGGTTCTATAAATTAGTGATTTTTATAAAACTAGCAAGCAATCCAATTCATTACTCTAGTGAGCTTCCGCACATAGCAAAACTTTCTTCAATCCCCTGTATCCCAAGAAACTCCATGGGTACAATCCTCTTATGGTCTTCTATTTCAAGAGTATCATACAAGCACTTCACTCCTTTTTCACCCTGGTGAGTATTCCCAGAAAACCAGGAGCTCTTGAAAGCTGTCCCCCCACTGCCACAACAGATATTGCATCCACTTCATGGATTTTGGTGCAACGTGTATGTCCAGTACTGTGATCCTACAGAGGGCTTTCTTTCCATTTTTCTCTTTAACAGTCCCATTACCTTCCTAATATTTTCCACGATTCTGCTATTCTCCTTCTGTTTGGGTAACAGGCTGTCCATAGGTCAGATACTGTATTGTGGCATAGAGTAAAAATGTGGATGGTGTCATGCAGAAAAACCTGCAGATCTCTGATTCTACCTGCAATTCAATACTGAACAGGTCTGTTAACAGAGTCATTTCTCGTGCTCTTCTAGGACAATGAACGATACAATGAAAAGAATGTATAGCCACAACTCTGCCATATATTCTGTATTAAAATGTACTGAATAGAAGCCAGTAAGGAAGGGTCCTTTATGCTGCCATTCCACAGATTGAACGTTACGCATGCTAGATCAAACATACAAATCAACACATACACGTAGTGCCGTATAATTTCAGTGAAGCATTGTTAAATCACAGAATCACAGAATGGTTGAGGTTGGAAGGGACCTCTGGAGATCATCTAGTCCAACCCCCCCAGCTCCAGCAGGGTCACCTAGAGCATATTGCCCAGGATCACATCCAGAAGAGTTTTGAATATCTCCAGCGAAGGAGACTCCACTACCTCTCCGGGCAACCTGTTCCAACGCTCTGTCACCCTCACAGTGAAGAAGTTTTTTCTCAGGTTTAGGTGGAACTTCCTGTGTTTCAGTTTGTGCCCGTTGCCTCTAGTCCTGT